CCAGCTGGATCAAGAACTTTCTGTCTTGCAGAACTATCCAGACGTCATGTGACAGCAAGATTTCTTCACAGAGGACACTCGAGGAAGGCCTCCCACAGGAGTCAGCACTCAGCTGTACCCTCTTCCTGTTGTTTATGAACGACTTGCCAGATGTCATCTCCTGCCAGAAAGCACTCTACGCTGACGACTTACTCATCTGGAGCAAAGGAAGTGACATGAGAGCACTGAACCAAGCCATCAACGCAGACCTGACTACTATATCGTCCTACTGCCAGCTATGGAAGATGGAGATCAACACAGATAAGACTGTTTTTGGACTCTTCAGCCTCAAAAACAAGGTTACAGCAGGTCAGGTAAACCTTAAGATCAATGGAACCACCATCAAACATGAGGACCATCCCAAGTACCTTGGTGTACAACTGGACCGAAAGCTGTCTCTCAAAGAGCACTTAGGGGAGCTGACCAAGAAAGCCACCTCCAGACTAAACCTTCTGAAACACCTTTCATCACTCAACTGGGGAGCTGCTCTGACAACTTTATATAGGGTATGTCAGATCTGTGATTGACTACTCCCTACCACTACATTCCATAGCCAGCCAAAGCTCCCTGGCACAGCTTGACAGAGTACAGAACCAAGCACTCAGATTTGTTTCTGGCGCGATGAAGACCACGCCCACAAGTGCCTGCGAAATCCACACCAACATAGAACCACTGGACCTCAGAAGAAAGAGTTCTACAATCGAAACCTACAAAAGATTCGCGGCTAGAAGGCACGAACGAAAATAGAAAAATGGCAGATGAGTGGGAACCAAGAAAACGCATCCAGAAGACCTCCTTCATGCGAGAAGCAACAAAACTACTGGAGGAGTTTGACCCACCCGAGAACAGAGAACCACTCGCCAACATCAGCTGCAAACCTCCATATTGGCAGACACCAGAAATCACAATAAGGACGAAACTTCTAGACCCTTCTTGTGACAAGACCAGAGTCACCAGAAGAAATCCTCAGAACGAGTGCCCTGGAGACAGTGGACTCGTATGCTGAAACTCCAATTCATGCATACACAGATGGGTCAGCAACAAACGCTACACAGAGTGCTGGATATGGATCCATCATCAAATATCGAAACAACCATGGAGAGAAGAAGCAGACACGACTATTTGGCCCATGTGGAACATACAGCTCCAACTATGATGCAGAGAGAGTTGCCATAGTAAAAACCCTGGAGCAGATCACCCAAGACTTTCTTGAAGCCGCAGTAACACCAGGGGATGTTGTTGTCTTCTCTGACTCAATGTCAGTACTCCAAGCCGTCTAGGGAGGAGGAGACTACAGAGGGGACGGGAACATTTTCAGCCTTGTAAAACAGATGGGCACTTCCTATGGCATCTGGGTCACACTGCAGTGGGTGCCTGGCCATTCTGGAGTACCAGGGAATGAGACTGCGGACCAGCTATCAAAGACTGGAGCAAGCCTGCCCCAGACAGACACAGCCTCCTCTTTTCAGACCTGCAGAGGGATCATCCAAGCCAAAAGCAGAGACGAGTGGCTAAATAGATGGGCCAACGCAGAAACAGGAAGATCTCTCTTCGGGCACATGGACAAACCCAACTCTAAAGACCCTTTGAATCTTTTATTTAGAGCCGATCAGACTTTGATCTTCAGAGCCCACACAGGACACTTACACACCAACAAGCATATAAACAGAATTAATCCCATGTGGGAACCCCATTGCAGACACTGACTACCACGAGGAGACCGTTGAACATCTTCTCCTTCACTGCCCAAACCTGGCTGTTCTTCGACGCAGGCTCCTTCATACACCTACAGACTTACAAAGCCTGCTCTACTCTGGCGTTGACCAGATGACAAGGACATGTGATTACTTGAGGGAGGCATTGCGCTGCCAAGAGCGAAATGCTCGCAGCTAAAGGGGTTTGAAAACAACAAAAAGCAACAACAACTACAGCCCTGTATATCTTCAATAAATTTAGAACTTGTTACATCAACGTGTAGTCTTGTATCCCCTTTCAACCGATGCCAATACATCTTTACAATGAGTCGCGTGGATAAAAATACCTCACATCTGCAGACCTATCCAGTCGTAATGTCTTGCCTTGAATGACTCAAGTTTGATTAAAGGCTCCACTTATTTGCAGCATTGAGTAACATCTTTTTATTGACCCTGTTTATTCCAAATATTGAAATCATGATTTCAAAGACTTCTTTTTCTTCTTCTTCTCAATCGCATCACACTTGAAGTCTGGAATCTGTCATAAATTGGGCCGTCCTGCTCAGTTCATCCTTCGGCCCGTATAGCTTATCTTGTAGTGTCAGTGGGGTTGGCCAGGTTTCCTGTCTTAGGGCCCTGTGTGTCTTGCAGTGCTGAAGGATGTGTTCAACAGTTTGGTCCGCCTCTCCACACTATTTCATTTCAAAGACCAACCCCAAAAGTTTACAAGGAAGCATCAAAAGCAACAAAATATAAAAACCAAACTATAAGAAACTTTAAAAGTATGGTAAAGTAATGTAACTCCGTTTCATACTAAATCCTTGACTTTCTCTGCAGACATCTCTTCCAGTGACCGACAAAACTCAAGCAGGAACTTGGTGATGATTTCATTCACTTGTTTCATACTGCATTAAATAGGAAAGAGAAAAAAACACATTGAAAGACAGACAAATAATATAATGAAACAATACTTTTACACAAAGTTATTTACGAAGATGTATTGAACAAAACAAAAAGAGTGCGTCACACATTACTTCATTTGATCTGACTTATTAAACTACTAAAAAAAGAGACCTCTTGCAAAAAAATCTTTAAAAACTCAAAAATTCATCATTGATTTTTTCAAGTACAGCAGAGCCTGGAAAAGTTATCTCTTGCGACTAGTGTGCCAGGCACTTTACACTTAGTAGAACATTTTTGCATCTCTTTAGTTTGTTTTTTTTCCTGGCTACTTTAGTTTTAGTAAGAGTTTTACGGAACTTGCAAGATATATAAGTGCCGAAGATTAGATGTGTTACAAGAGAGTAAATAACATAAAAAAGGAGGAGAGATCAGGACGATAGATGTTTGATAGGAAAGAAGTTTGTATCTCTACAACAGAAGTAGAAGGTGAAAGACGAGGCGGAGAACAAGAACAACACCACAGAAGGGAAGAAGACTTTTAATTTGATACTCAGATTTAGATCGATCGACACAATTCCTCTGTGACTAACCTAAACCTATTGGCTTGACTCTCCACTACGACAGAAAAGCCCAGCACGCCGTGGGTAGTGGTGGGGTTGCAGTAGACGCTGTAGCCCAGCTGCTTCTCCGTGCGGAGCGAGTTGAACAGGGGTTCATTCATGGCAGCCTGGAGCGGGAAAGAACAAAAATACCACAAGGTCAACAACCTGTGAAAAAAATTGAGCTAAAGTAAATTTTTGTGAAGTTCAAAGTCCACAACCCCTCCTATTCTTAAAGAAAACATCAAAGATTTTTTTGTTTTAGTAAGTGTTTTACAGCACTTGCAACACAAACAGGTCACATAAGTGCCAAAATAGGAGGTGTTACAAGGGAGTAACAAACACAAAAAAGGAGGGGAGATAAAGACGATAAATGTTTGATAGGAAATAAGAAACAAACCACACCAAATCACCAGCCAACATCCCACAAAACATGAGACTTTTTCACATCTGTAATACTGTAATTCTTCTTAGCTGAACACCAAAAACTTACAATTACTTGAACACCAAAAACTTACAATTACTTGAACACAAAAACCTGATCTACTGAGTATTAGACACACACTCCTTACAGCATAAACCATGAGATATAAAACATAGGTATTAATTCACGACAATATAAACTACTTAAAAATTAATTATATAACCAGAACTCTAGAAGTATCCAGACTCTTTTATTTTGTACAGTGGTGGGGGAAGAAGTGGAGACGAAAGCAGACGACAGAATATTTTTAGGAAAGCAGGAAAGGAGGTGAAAGGAGAGAAGAAAATTTTCCATCGCTATCCGGATTCGAATCCGGGGCCTACTGAATGAGAGGCAAACACTGTAACCTCTCGACCAGGAGACTCCCAGCTCACCCCTAAGACTTCATTCAAGCAGTAGTTGCGGATGGAGCCCGGCCCTTGTTGGAAATACTGGACCACGCACGAGTTCGTGTCTTCTTTGTTGACGGCAGGCATGAAGCATTTGTTCTCCCCCACAGGGAGCTCCAGCACCACAGGCTGCAACAAACAAGGAATTGTTCCAGTAAATGTGAGAATGAACGGAGAACGATGATGACGATGATTTTTTCTGGTTTCCTTAATGGGCCTGGTGGACTCCACGAAGAAATCTTCGAGCGAGAGCGAGGCTCTTTTTCGGCTCCATTGTCATTATACTTAGAGGCACCTCCACTCGTCCAAATAACTCCATTCGAATTGCCATTGTTCCTGGAATTTCAAACATATGTTCGACATCCTTCTTTTCATGGCCGCACCTTCGGAAACGTGGGCTGAGCTTTTCATTCACAAAGTTCTTATACCATCTCAAGCTCCAATGATGGTCCGACCCCAGTTGATGATGACGATGATGATGATGATATCAGTAATGATAATTAATACTACTACTAATGGTAATGATGATTATAACAATAACATTAAAGTGAAAATACTACTACCTGTACTACAACGACTACTACTACAGATGAGGATGATGACAATGACGATGATGATGATGATGATGATGATGATGATGATGATACTAACACTAATAACAATTATTATTATAATAAGAATAACAATACTTCCTTTCATACCACATCTACTCCGACATCAAGTCTTACTTACTTTTCACAAACCCAACTAATCACTAGCGTCAAAGAGTCAAATGGTTTGGACATCTAACCAGAATGCCACAGAAACAACTAGCGGCTAGAGCTTACAACATGTTAACACCCGAGAATCTGGATTCAAATCAAGAGGAAGACCAAGAAAGACCTGGCTGGATGAGGTTAAAAAGGTCCTGGAAAAACGTAGCATATCTATCTACACATCTAGAACAGGAACAAAACTTGCACCTACCCTCAACAGAGGAAGGAAAAAGTAAAAAGTAAATTAAGTAAGTAACTAATCACTTCATAAAACCGTTCATCAAGTACATACCAAACACAAGACATTTCCCCTCCCCTCCCTTGCTACCCCTACCACACACACGCACCCACACACCACACCTACCCACCCACACACACACACACCTCTCTCTCCTTTTCACTCAGAATACCAAGACACTGATATATACGAACATGAGCAAGTGCGCATCATACAATACTGTGTTAATTTTCCTATTAGATAAAACTAATATCAGTAACATTACTAATGACAGTGAACAACTGTGATGAGAAAGAGGAGAAATAATGCAAATCAAATTATAAAAAAGAAAATTTTTTCTCCCGTGCAAAGTTGATAGACTGTTGAGAGGATCAATGACATACCTTTGGTATTTCACTCTCTGGAAGAGGTTTCTTTATCACTTTCAATGCGCTTTTTCCAATATCAACAGCATCCTGAAAGGGTGATGATGATAATTATGACAACAGCAAAAAAACAACAACCAGTAACTGATATATCCTGACTTTAAAAAAAATTGCAATGACAATGTTTATTCATCTTGCAGGGAGAAATTTGTCTTGGTCTTTAACAATGGCAGTAGACGTTACAAAGGTTAGGTGCACCCATGCATATGCACAACAAGACAGGACATTAGTAAATACATGAGTCACATGCAGGGACAACCCGCTCCGCAAAGGATTCTCTCTCTCTCTCTGTTTCATTTGTAGCACTGTGTGTTCAGTAGCCTCACTGCAGTAGGAACGAAAGAATTTCTATCTGTCTGTTTTTGCTTTTTGGAAATGTACTGTTTACTGCGGGCCGACAGTTGAAATTCTAATGTCAGTGGGTGGCTTTGTTATGTAACATTATCTTAGATTTAATGTCTACAAAGCTACAAAGTGTGTAAAAGAATGTATCACATTTTGAATGAAATTTTTTGTCTTCTAAACCTCTACACAAATGCTCAACTGTGGGAAAGGACAAGCCAAAGACCAGTAAAGGAAGACATACAGGTGAAGAAGTGGAAATAGATTGGGCAAACCCTGAGGAGACCCCAGACAAGCATCATCAGACAGGCTTTGACATGGAATCCACAAGGAAAGTGTAACAAAGGAAGACCAAAGATGACATGGAGGCGCGCGGTACAAGCAGAAATGGAAAAGGCAGGGACATCATGGAAACAGCTAGAAAAGGATGCACAGGACAGGCTTCAGCTGAAGAATTGTTGTTGATGGCCTATGCTCTACTGAGAGTTAAAAGGGCAAGAGAGAGAGAGAAACCTCTACAACTGACATACACAACATCCAGTGGTGTACACCTATAAACATTTGTAATTAAGGTATGCGTAAGAATTTTCTTTTAAAGGAAAACAAATTTTTACCATCATCTGTGTTCCCAATTTTAGTTGAAAACTATGTGAAGATCTCACTTGTCTCCATCAACAGCCAAAAAATAAAATTTTGACAAAAACATAGCTACATCTTTCAGCTACAGTCAGAATTATCCGAGACAGTCACCTATTTTTTAGGGAAAAGTGGCCGTCTTAGACGGGTGGACATCTAACAGTGTCATTTAATTTTTTAAATAAATTTTAATACATGTTTTACTGCACTTGCAACACAATAAGGTCATATAAGTGCCAAAGAATAATTATGTATTACAAGAGAGCAACACACAAAAAACAAAGGAGGGGAGATCAAGACGACAGATGTTCGATAGGAAAGAAGGAGCAAACCACACCAGAGCACCCGCCAACCACCCACAAACAGTGTCATTAAAACATTAAAAAACACTCAAGGGGGAAATGGGAAGTTGCCATTTCCACAGGTGATTGTTTTATACAGGTAGCCGTTAGAGCAGGTTTGACTGTACTTTAACTTCTAGCAGCTGCAAACAGAACATCAGCGAGTATTAACTCTTTATCTCTGGCAAGCTGCTCCCAGCGGTTCCGGTCGGAATTGCTGTGCCTATGAGCCGCTGGCAGTGGCTTGGGCACATTCTTTACGTTTTCGACATCAAATTACTTTTTGGCAATTGCTGAAAATAGGTATCTTCTACCGGGAGCTCATTCATGGATGAAGACTTATCAAAATAGGTTCACTTGTTTCGATTTAATGACCTATTTAAGGACATTTTTTGTCATTTTTAGATTTATTACCAAAAAAGGGCCTTGGCGTAGTGGGTTTACCCCCCTTGAAGATAAAGAATTAACAAAACATCTGCTGCGAGTATTAATGGAACATCTGACAGTATTATTTTCAACGATAGTCTTTGAGCAGACGGCAGTCTCCGCACCTGAGGCTTGAGGTTCCCTGTCACGTAACCCTCTATAAACATGGTGCAATAGAACTCTTCCAGGAACGGTCCAATCATGGGAAATGTGATGGAGCCCACTTGTTCATAGCGCTCTATCAGGGAGGGATCCATCATCTCCAGAACAGAATACCTCACAGCCCTTGGTTGATGAAACAAAAGCACATCATTCTATCTTTTTTCTTTTTTTTTTGAAGCAAGGGATGAGATTAAAAAGTAGATTTGATTTTAAAACAACAACAAAATGTGGGTATTTTTCTGGAAGAAATATTGAAAATTCATTTGTTTAAGTCTGATTTATCTGCAGAGGAGAATATCTGAGTTAATAATAATAATAATAAACAGCATTTATACTGCGCATTTCCATTTTCTGAAAAAATGCTCAATGCGCATTACAACGAAAAAGACATCACATCTTAAAAATTTATCGACATGTGTGTACATAAAACAAAGTACAGTAGTCTCCACCTAAGATCCCACCGCTTACGATCCCGGTTTGCTTAAAAGATCCCGCTGTTTTAAGAAAACAGAATTTTTACTATACAAAAGTCACCACTAAGATCCCGCTCTGATTCACTCTGAAGGTCCTGCATTTCAAATCATAATTTACGGAACAAACACCCGGGAGGGCACAGCAAATCAACCAAGAGTGGAAGTTGAGATCAATGAGATCACATCAAAGATCAGCCACTATGGTGAATATGATCACACACACGTTGTAAAACTCCATGAAGCGATACAATGTTTGCCCCAGACGGGATCACACCGTGGTGTGAACTGACCGACATGTTTGTTTTACCCACACATAACACTCACACCTGAGCTCTCCCCCTGAACTTACATCACTCGCTGGGTGGGCAGGGCCTACACGTTCGTTCCAGGTGGGATCACATCGAACCGTGAACTCTTCCCTGACCATTGCAGCAGTTTTCTCTACTCCCGAATTTGTGAGACAGACTGAATTTTAATTGGTGTATTCACAACGTAATGGTGTGTAACGACAAAGGCGGTTGGGGGTGGGGGGGGAGACTCAGTCAGAAATGGAAAGCTATAAATTTTCTACAGGTAAAGGGGAGGGGCAGCTGGATAAGCGTAGATTTTGAGACTCATGATAGGATAATAAGTGAAAATGGCACGCCTCATGCCACTATGCACTGTGATAGGTCATCAAGGTTAACCACTCTTTGCTCGCCATAATATGTCATAAACCCACCAAGGGGTCACATCAGTTCATTTTAGAGTGGAGGGAGACCATTTTACTGATTATGAGCCTTAACATGGGTCACCATAGATTTTTTCCTGGGTTCGTCGGTTAAAATCCCAGTTCGCCTAAGATCCCGCATTTCTTTGCTCCAGAGCACCGGGATCTTAGGCGGAGACTACTGTATTATACATGATATAACATAAATGTATGTGTAAAAATTTATATGAGAAAAACAGTCTCGCAATGAGTGTTCACTAAAAATATACAATGCAATAAAAATTCACGAACGGTCACAATAAAGTTTTTAGCTTTAGTTTTAGTAGAGGTTTTACGCGCTCACAACTGCACAAGGTCACATGAGTGCCAAGGGATGGATGTCAACAGAGAAGTCCTTACAGGGAATCAGACTTAATCTGCTCACCTCTCTACTCTAGCTTCAACGGCACAAAGCCTGCTTCGACTATCAAGGCACCACGGAAATAGTGGGTCACAAGAATATGACAAACACTAAAGAAGTAGAGGAAAATGACGATAGTAAGGATTAGGAAAGAATAGGCACCAGTTCCCTGTTGCAGTTCAGGCACAGTTATGAGCATGACATTGATGAATCAGCCCATTTACAATTTACAATTCTACTGTGCATAAGAACATGTTAAGGTCCCCCCCCCCTTTGAAAATGGCCTAAAGACACTTTAGTCAATAGCACCGCCCTGGGGGGTAGAATGTCTGAAGAATTAGACGAAATAAAAGAAATAAGCTGTCCCTCAGGTTTTATGCACTATGCATAATTTAGCAAAATCTGATAATTTTATGTCTAATTTATAAATATTAATTTTCCGTTATCATTCTTTGTTAAAAATTAAGAGAATCGCATAATTTCACATTTTTCGGCTCAGTTAACATAATTCTAAAAATTTTTTGCGCAAAACTGTGGGGACAGAATAAGGATTAAGATGAGATTTGTTTGAATAGAGCTGGGCCATTTAGACATTTTGGTAGGTGCTAAGGACCACCTGGGTTGTGACAGGTATTTTTTATTTTTTATAGTAGAGGGTTTTACGGCGCTCACAACTGCATAAGGTCATATGAGCGCCAAGGTGTGGGTGTCAACAGAGAAGTCTTTTCAGGGAATCAGACTTACACTGCTCACCTCTCTAACTTCAACAGCACAAGGTCTGCTTCGACTATCAAGGCACCCCAAAATAGCAAGTCACAAGAGAGTGACAAACATACAAAAGAAGTAGAGGAAAATGACAATAGTAAGGATCAGGAAAGAAAAAGCAGCAGTTCCCTGTTGTAGATCAGGCACAGTTATGAGCGTGACATGAATCAGCCCATTCACAATTCTACCATGCTTGAACGAGAAATGTCTCCCCTTTGGGAATGGCCTAAAGACACTAGTCAGTGGCACTGCCCCGGGGGGTAAGATTAGAGGTGTAACAAGAGAGTAACAAACATAAAAAAGAAGGAGGGGAGATAAGGACGATAGATTTTTTATAGGAAAGAAGAAGCAAACCAAACCAGAGCACCCACCAACCACCCACGTACGCTAATTTTAGCCTCTACAAGATGGCAAAACTGGGTGCTGGCTACAAAAAGGTTGACAAGCACAGCTCTAACCAAAACAAAAACACACACACACAAAAATAAACCCCAGACTGCCCACACCTGGCATATTGCTTCATGGAGTTTCAAATCAAAACAAAAGCAAATGTGAGTTGTGCTGACAAAATTAGGTACTTCTCGGGATTTAGCCTGACGGAAATAGATACACGTCAAATTTATAGGTTGACTCTTTACAATTTATTAGTATGAAATGATAAAAGACATGTTAAGCCTGAAGAGAATGGCACTAGTTTAGAATCTATAAATATGACCTCTGTGTAGATTTTCAGCCGATAACTCCATTCATGGAAGTAACTCGTTTTGTCAGCACGCCTCACAAATCGATATAAAGCAACAACAAAAAAAGGGCCCATTAATTGCTCCGACCTGGCCAGCTCAACAGGTTTGATGAGTTCATTGATATAGACTTGCTTCAGGTGTGTCACCACAGAATGGAACAAGCCCTCGTCAATGACCAGATCTTTGAAACACGACAGGGTGTCCTCTGTGACAACCTGAAGAAACACGGCATACAATTTTTTCAATATCATCATCAAGTGCCAGAACGGAAGCAGACATACATAATAATGGTTTGACACTCATTTCTTTTCTCAGATGCTCTCGTTTTGGTAAGTGTTTTACAGCACTCGCAACTGCATAAGGTCATACGAGCACACGTTCAGATGCTCTAAAAAAATAAATAAATATAAAATAAAGTAGCCTGGTCTTTCCCCATCACACATCTGTTCAAGTTCTCTAATTGTATTCACTTCATTGCAATTTGTCAAGCTGCTGACTAAAGTGTCTTTAGGCCATTCCCAAAGGGGGTACATTTCTCGTTCATGCACAGTAGAATTGTAAATGGGCTGGGCTGATTCATTAATGTCACGCTGATAACAGTGCGCAGAGTAAGTCTGATTCCCTGAAAGGACTTCTCAGTTGACATCCACCCCTTGGCGCTCATACGACCTTATGCAGTTGCGAGCGCCGTTAAACCTCTACTAAAACTAAACTAAAGCTGGACCTGTAGTATTAGAGCCTATCCAGAGGTCATCTAATGTCATCTGCAGCACTTCACACAAAAGAAAGCATCATAGATTATGCCCCTAAACATCTTCGTAAGTTTTTTTTCAGTTGAGTAAAAAGTGGCTAAGTTAGCGATTACGAAACATTTTAAATATCCTTACTGGGTTGAAAGAAGCCTTTAACCCATGCCATACACCCTTTGTCGCATAATTAGTTTAATAAGTGTTTTACTGCACTTGCAACACAAAAAGGTCATATAAGTGCCGAAGATTAGAGGTGTTACAAGAGAGTAACAAACACAAAAAAGAAGGAGAGGAGATAAGGACGATAGATGTTAGATAGGAAAGAATAAGCAAACCCCAACAGAGCACCCGCCAACCACCCACTGCCGCAGATCAGTAAAAAAGTCAATGAAAAACAGAGCATTCAATACTTCATTAACAACGCAAAACTTAAGAAGAAAAAGAGTACAAGGTAGATCTATCTCCAAAGTGAAATCAACTCATATTGAGCAGTTGACCTTTATTTTCTCACTGTAGCCTCCGATGAAGAACACAACTCCCTCGGGCGTTCCCTCCACCGAGTACCTGAAACAAAGAACAAACATTATGGGTTTAAAAAAAGTTTTAATAGAGGGTTTTCGGCGCTCGCAACTGCATAAGGTCATATATGAGTGCCAGAAGATTAGAGGTGTTACAAGAGAGTAACAAACATAAAAAAGAAGAAGGGGGAGATAAGGACGATAGACGTTTGATAGGAAAGAAGACGCAAACCACACCGGAGTACCCGCCAACCACCCACAACACATTATGTGCATCACACCGGGAGCAGACAAGAACCAAAGAAATACTAAAAAAGAAGTATAGGGAGCCGACCACCGAACTACTGTTAGACAAATTAAAAATCTGCACAATAGCAAACTCATGTTCGGTCGCAAATAGAAAAAAATAGAAAGGTTTAAAAGCATGACTTCAATTAAAGTTGTCAAATCTAAAAAATACTTTAATCGCTGTGCCTACACTGTTTCGCTTCGCCAGCAGTATGGCCTTACCTTAAGACATTCATTTCTGTGTTTTTATATTGAACAAAGCATACTATATGGTAACAAAAGAAGAAGCAAACCACACCAGAGCATCCGCCAACTTCCCAGGAGATTATTTTTGTCCATATTACAAATATAATCATGGAAGTGTCTACGGTCTCTAACGTTAGAGAACATATACAAGCTGTCTACGTTCTCTAACGTTCAGTGCTTCCAATTTTCCACCATTTTTTAAATAGTTTCCTCCAGACCTCATCTTTCTCACTTTCTTTGTTGTAGAAGTAGAAAACTAGATGTCAACATCTTGACCTATGTGGTTGCCTTTCCTGAAACAGTGCTGTACAGTGGAGTCCACTTATAACGAGTCCGGAAAAAATGAGAAGTCTGTTATAAAGACACTATTCTAAAACCCTGTTCTTTTCTCCTCTTTACCTTTGTAAATAAAATACTGCTATAGCGCAATTAGACAAACATGCGAGTCGGTTATAGCGGAATATTGCTGCTGCTGTGCACAGTGCAAAGGCCAATTATACATAGTGCAAAACCTCGCCAGTTGAGAAACTTGGTGATCTTGCGAAACAAAGAATGGGAGAGCCCATGTGCGTCAACAATGAAGGTCGGAGCGACTGAGTAGGGAGGTTGTGGCATGCGCAGACAACAGAACGCATCGCGTGATAGGCCAGCATAAGCCTAGTTTAGATTATTAAGGCCTAGATCAAGGCCTATCATGCCTCTCACTTCTCCGATGCGAGGATGGAGAAGTCACAGCAATGTGATGGATGGAGCGAATGTGCGATGTGCGCAAGCAGACAGAATGCACCACAGGATGGAGTGGGGTGGGGGAAAACACAGCAGGCGAGTTAGCCTAGAGCCCTCTCTTTCTGATCGCCACCGCCGAGCTGTCAGTCCACATCGCTAGATCTAGCACTAGAGAAAGAAACCTGATTCGAGTTTTGATCAAGTAAGACCTAGATGTCATGTTGAAACAAAATCATCACCAGGGGAGATAGAAAAAGGAAATAAACAGAACACCAAAATCATAGATTAAGCCTACTTTACAGTTTCCCTTGAATTTATTACTTACTGGATCCCTTACAGCGAGAATCCTGCTATAAGGGACATTTTGCTCTGGTCCCCTCCATCTCGTTATAACAGGATTCCACTGTATATATTAAGCTTAATCTACCTCTGGTCGTTGGATGCTCTGATAGCCGAATGGTCAGCGTGTCTGCGCTTGAAGTGTATGAGTGTGGGTTCGAAGAGAAATGTAACCACAACCGTATAAAATACATACTCGTAACCAGCCAGAGTCGCGTTGTAGAGAGTCTCTGTCAGTTTGTGTAGCAGACAAGTAAGAACGATGTCAGCCAAAGCCACACTGCGGAGTCAGGAAATATCCACGTTTGTTTTAGTAAGTGTTTTACGGCACTTGCAACACAATAAGGTCATATAAGTGCCGAAGACTAGAGGTGTTACAAGAGAGTAACAAACACAAAAAAGAAGAAGGGGAGATAAAGACAATAGATGTTTGATAGGAAAGAAGAAGCAAACCACAACAGAGCAACCGCCAACCACCCACTTATTGCCACGTTCGTTTGATTCATTTAGTCTGAGTAACAGAAGCACATCAAAACAGCTCACTTGTTTTGTTTTAGTAAGTGTTTTACAGCTCTTGCAACACAGTAGAGGAAAACTCATATGAAATATCCTGTTAGTAGGGCAACCATACTCCACACCATTTCACCCACCTTTTACACGAATGGTTGCTTATTTTAAAACGTCAAGGCGACAAAAATAAAACCCCAACAAACCCAAGATCTTGCTCAAGGTCAAGTTTGTTTGAGTAAAGAGAAGTTCACTGATGAGATGAGATTTGAGATGGAGATGATTTTTCATCCTCTGTTGCCGTTAAGCGTCGAGGGGAGATGCAGTTTTCTGTGGTAGGCCAGCTCCGCAGCTCTTCACAATGACACAATAATGGTCATTCAGTACAGGGAAAAAGAAAAACGGACAGACAGACAGACAGACAGAAACAATGGAAGGGAAGAAAAGTAGGCCATACCAGAAACCTGCCACCTGTGAGGTCAAGGGGGTCAAGAGGTCAAGTGTCATACAACAATGTTTTCAATTTCACAAATAACCGTAGGTCACTGAGAGAAGCTGTGACAACAGCCGCCTTCCAATAATGATTTGATTGAAAATCCTTTATCTCCATTTCCAAAACAAAACCTGAGACACTGTCAATTATATATTTAAGTACAATATATGTATTATCTTACAAACATGTTTGACTGAAATTCAAAGCATTTTAAAAACAAATCACAATGCCCTATCTCTAACGATTTTTACACAAAGCTCAAACATTAAACATCAGTTTGCAAGAAAACGAGCATGAATAGTGCTGTAAGGTTGAAAAAAGTCAAACGAGATTTCTCCCTCCCCCCAAAAAAATGTATGTACCATGCCAAAACAAAATTGAAAATGAAACAGATACTGACCACATAAAGGCCCCCATCAGGCACCTATTTCACAAGAAATACTGAATTTAACTCCCCCCTCCCCACATCTAAAATAAAAACAAAAAAATTAAAAATCCAGAGAGGTTCATTGTCGATTGTTTCAGGAAGCAACATCCCTACATTCTGGACACGTCCATTGATGCTCCGTTGCTCTCTCCAAAATGTTGCTTAGGGTCTTTCTACTGATTGTGCCAGTGCATAGCTGGCTGAACGTTCTGTTCTTTCCTGCAAAGCTGCCAGATTTTCCGCTTCCTTTCTGTACTCCCAAAACCATCATCCTCATACATTAAACATCAATTTGCAAGAAAACAAGCTCGAGTGGTGTTCAAACGTTGAAATAAGTCAGAGAAGAAAAAGTACCTACTTTTTGGTATTCTTCGATATTGCAGAACTGATGAAATTGAAGTAGATGTAAGCATTGGGGGTGTGGAAAACCGTATCCTTTTTGTACCAGATGCGACAACCTCCCTCTGACATCACCACCACGGGGCACTGGCAGGGACAAAAACATGACAAAATACATGTCAGTTTAGTTTTAGTTTTAGTAGAGGTTTTACGGCGCTCGCAACTGCATGAGGTCATATGAGTGCCAGAAGATTAGAGGTGTTACAAGAGAGTAACAAACATAAAAAAGAAGAAGGGGAGATAAGGACGAAAGATGTTTGATAGGAAAGAAGAAGCAAACCACACCAGAGCACCGTCAACCACCCACAAATACACATGTCAACATTTGAAAAAATGACCATTGGAGAAATATGAGAGTAGCAATAACTAAATGAGGGTAAAAATAAACTTGAACCCACTATTCGGAACTATCTTGTGGTGTCAGTGGCCTGGTGGTTAGGCTCTCGGACTCACAACCGTAAGGTTGAGGGGTCGAATCCATCAGGGGCCCGATGTTTTGTCCTTGGGAAAGGCACTTTACACAGATTTTCTTCATTTCACCCAAGTGAGAATGGGTTCCCAGCTATAGGTAGCGAAGGATCTTGTCAGTTTGAGTGTTTGAGCACTTAATTTGCTGATTGCACTGTATGCTACCCCGGAAGCCGAGTATGTTTCTGAGTGTTCTATGGTCTGCTGGGGTAATGATAATATAGTGTAAAGCGCATAGAGCTATCTGTCGAGCAGGTGTATGTGCTATACAAATGCTATTTATTATTACTTGACTTACAGCTCCCATTCGGGGTTCTATTCTCTGTGAGACCACATTTAAAAGGGTTCTAAACAAAAATGAAAAGAAAAAGGACGCTTTAATACGTAAGTGAGAATAATGGTGAAAAAGTAGCATACAGTAATAAGAAAGGAGCAATCACTCTTGGCAGAGACAAAACATGTTTTTTAGTGTTTAGTAGAGGTTTTACGGTGCTCGCAACTACATAAGGTCATCTGAGCGCCAGAAGATTAGAGGTGTTACAAGAGAGTAACAAACATAAAAAAGAAGAAGGGGAGATAAGGACGACAGATGTTTGATAGGAAAGAAGAAGCAAACCACACCAGAGCACCCGCCAACCACCCACAATGACTTAACACCTGTTTTGTAGTTACTTCACATGACAACACAGAACGGTAAAGACTAATACCCCCTGGGGCGGTGCCACTGACTGAAGTGTCTTCAGGCCATTCCCGAAGGGGGGACATTTCTCGTTCAAGCATAGTAGAATTGTAAATGGGCTGACTCATGTCATGCTCATAACTGAGCCTGATCTACAATATCCTGATCCTTACTATTGTCATTTTCCTCTACTTCTTTTGTATGTTTGTCACTCTCTTGTGACTGATATTTCCGGGGTGCCTTGATAGTCGAAGCAGACCTTGTGCTGTTGAAGCTAGAGAGGTGAACAGTCTAAGTCTGATTCCCTGTAAAGACTTCTCTGTTGACACCCACCCCTTGGCGCTCATATGACCTTATGCAGTTGCGAGCGCCGTAAAACCCTCTACTATAAAAAAAAGGAGAGACTAACTGAGCAGCCATCACACCTTTGTAGACTTTCTCGTCTTCACCAGGTTGAAGTTTGTCGCTGTGGAAGAGAACAAAAAACAAATAAATAAAAATACCACGACTGACAAAACTGCACTTTTTTTGGTACCAGTCCAGCGCCCCCACAAGATACAAATTCTAATACAGTGTAGTCCGCTTATACCGAAAACTGTGTGACCATCAGATTTTTTTCGGTTAGCTCGGTTTTTGGTTTAGAAAATTTATTAACCCTATCCGTACACCTGGGGTCATTTTATACCCCCAGGGTTGTATTCTTCACATTTTAGAATACTTCTAGTGCGAAGATCTCTTTGAAACTTTCAATATTTCTCAAAAACTCATTTTGACAGACTGCTATACAAAGCGTACGGATCGGATTAACGAGTAAATTTCCTCTTTAGAAAGTGGTGGCACAGAGTTCCCCACTTTGTATGGAGACGATAGCAAACCACGACGTACGGATAGGGCTAAATAAGGGATTTTATTTTATTTTGGTTTACCACTGTATTTGGATTAACCGTGTTCGGGATAGAGACTATATATGTCACGACGTGGTGGAATCAGGCGCTCATCAATTTTTGGGCATTTGCTTTGCTTTTGATGAAAAAACCCCCATTTATCTTGGATACAAGTCGAGATATTGGCGTTTGAAGGAGGTGGGGGTCGCCTGGTTTCAGAGGTAAAGTTAGTGAAAAAATGGCCACCAAAGTTTAGTTATTTCGTCAACTTGAGAGTGCGTGGAAACTTAAAATTTACATCTTTAATGCCTTTAATCAACGCTTTTCAGTAAAATCCACACAGAAATGTGTTCTTTATCGAGCATGAAAGGCGTTGAGCCACAAAACAAGATTTCGATTAAAATTCCCAAACCTGAGGGAAAATGCCAGTTTCTTCAAAAACATTATTTGGATGAGCTCCCGATTTCACCACACTGCCTCACATACAGAGTGAGAATGGATGAATACGGGACTTATTATATACGCGTGGCACACCACTTTCTGAGGAGTTGCCGCTCCTGTGGTCAGTGAGGAAGTGCAAATGTTCATATCCTTTAGCCAACCTCATATAACAAGAATAAATAAATTAATAAAATAACCTGAACAAAACTTAAGATTTGATTTAAAGCTTTTGCTTACAAATATTGAAATGATGCAAGACTTCTCACATTTAAATTCTTCCAAGGTCAAGGAGGACCCAAGAGTGGTTGATAGCAAGTGTCTTCTGCCCCTATTTATTCTAATTTATTCTTTTTATTAATTTAGTATTTTATGTTCCTGCGAGAAATTTTCTTGTTTGTTTTAGTAGAGGTTTTACGGCGCTTGCAACTGCATACCGTCATATGAGCGCCAGAAGATTAGAGGTGTTACAAGAGAGTAACAAACATAAAAAAGGAGGGGGGATAAGGAAGTTAGATGTTTGATAGGAAAGAACACCCGTCAACCACCCACAAATTTTCTATCAATCCAATACAGACCAAGTGGGCAGCAGGCTGCAGTGATTTGACCTGTCTGCGTGACCCAGACTGAGTGAGATACACCAGACATAGGGGAACTATGGAAACCTGGTCATCACCAGTACGGTAATTTCTATCTTGGTTAGCAAACAGCTGGACATGCCCAAATGAAAGCTTTGCTAGTCACAAAAACTGAAAATCATGAGAGTATCAATTTTGAACGCTTGTTGACTCATAAAGTATTTCTGTTCAAACTGTTGCTTGATTATTGTTGTTTGATTTCCCATTCAACTAACATAACAATAAACCACAAGTCAAACAAATATTAAGTCCACAAGCTTTTAAAATCGACACCCTCACAATTTCCAGTTTGTGACTATGCCCGTTTTTCCCATGTTCTCTTATGTCTCCCTCTGGGGACCGCAACGAAGATAAGGAAGAACTTGATCAAAAGGAAAGTAACTGAAATTTGAGCTGTATTCAGAAGAGAAACAGGTGTATGAACATTTTTTTAACCTTTTTTCACAAAGCTTTTTTTAGTAAGTGTTATACGGCACTTGCAACACAATAAGGTCATATAAGTGCCGAAGATTAAAACTGTTACAAGAGAGTAACAAACACAAAAAAGAAGGAGGGGAGATAAAGATGATAGGTGTTTGATAGGAAAAAAGAAGCAAACCACACCAGAGCACCCGCCATCCACCCACTTTCAAATAGCCAGAGGGGAAAAAAGGCGATCTAAAAAGCAATAACGTGTGAAGCAACATGATATAATGCTCTTTCAAGCACAAGACATCAGCATTTACCAATGTAAGGGTTAGGCTCCGGAGCAGCGAGATCAGGATTCAAAGACACATCTGGAGAAAGATTAAAACAAAAGAAGTTAAGGAGCTTGACAATAAAATCACTATTTTTTCATCTTTAATGACAACAGAGGAAAAGAGGTTGCTGTAAATATTTATGAAGACTTCATTAAAAAAAATATGTTTATGTTACGTTGGGGGACAAGAAAGCAGTGGTCATCTTATAAATATTTTTAAAAATTTTTAATCCAACAGTTACTTTTTTCCGTAGCCATTTCCAGCTAAACAGTATTATCTTTCAACTCTGAGGAACTAACGTTTACTGTAACCACTTACTATTCAGTCTTTTTATGAGTGCATTGTCAACATCTGAGGATGAAAAAAAAAATGCTCAAGTAAAAACAATCATAACTAAATATTTTATCCGCAACCTTTCAGAAATGAACATTTATTGTCAAGGTCTATTATAAAAAAACATAACACCCACATTATTTCCATATATGCAAGCCATGCCATACTTAAGGCTACTTAACCTTCTCCGTTCAACTCTTTTGCAGAGGTCAACCCAGTAGTTTTAAGTATACATAAGTCTGCCCCTTTTGTTTCCATGTCAATTCTTGACCCACTCAAAGACAGGTATACCATAAGTACTCTTTTTTTTTCAGCAGAGGTTTTACAGCGTTTGCATCTGCGTAAGGTCACATGAGTGCCAAGGGGTGGATGTCAACAGAGAAGTCCTTACAGGGAATCGGGCTTACTTTGCTCACCTCTCTAGCTTCAACAGCACAAAGTCTGCTTCAACTATCAAGGCACCCCGGTAATAGCGGGTCACAGAGTGTGACAAACATACAAAAGAAGAGGAGGAAAAATTATGATAGTAAGGATTAGGGAAGAAAAAGCAGCAGTTCCCTGATCAGTTCAGGCACAGTTATGAGCATGACATTGTTGAATCAGCCCATTTACAATTACATTTCTACTGTGCGTAAGAACAATTAGTTAATGTCCCCCCCTTTGGGAAAGGCCTAAAGATACTTCCGTCAGGGGCATCGCCGGGGGGGGGGGGTCATAAGTACTCTATTAAGGTACACTTTAACTAACTTCAAGAGCAACGACAACAAACACGACTAAAAAATCGAAGCCTAACTTGGAGCCCAACTTAATCTACAGTACAAGGTATATACAGTCAAACCTGTGTAAGACGGCCACCCATTGTCAAGGAGAAAAGTGGCCGTATAAGACAGGTGGCCGTCTTAAGCAGGACTGATTAAGATGAAGAAAACAAACCATTCCCTTCTGAGGTCCCAACCAAAGGTAGCCGCGTTGTTGTTGTTGTTGGTTTATTTTTTGTTTGCTTTTTTTTGTTTTGTTGCTGATTTTGTGCAAGGGTGACAATAAAACGAAATGTGTTAGAGGAGGAGGACGGAGTGCCATGTTAAAACAAACACATGGGTTGCTACCACTTGGAGAACGAGCGACGCTTCTGTCGTTAGTTCATGTTGACATCCATTGTTTTGGTACAGACTGGGTAAACAGTAACCACTCATCTCATTTACGATTTGTGTATGAGTTGTGGGTTGGGCTTTCGGGTTATAACGGATCACACGCTTCCTCATCAGCAGAAGAAAATTTGTTACCTATTGGTCAACAGTAGGAGGGGCAAACACAACATGATCGGTTGGAGGGACTTTTAGTTTTAGTTTTAAGAGGTTTTACGGCGCTCGCAACTGATAAAGTAATATGAGAGCCAGAAGATTAGAGGTGTCACAAGAGAGTAACAAACATAAAAAAGAAAAAGGGGAGATAAGGACAACAGATGTTTCATTGGAAAGAAGAAGCAAACCACACCAGAGCACCCATCACCCACCCACTTGGAGGGACTACCTGACAACGACAGGTGATTGGATTATGATGGCTCGCCCGAAACACAAGGGGCCAATGCATAATTTATGACAAAACGTAATGGGAGTCACAAAGGTGGCTGTCTAAGATAGGTGTTATTGTTTGATGTGATAGGGGTTGTGTGATAAAATATGGTGGCCGTGGCTGCGTTGAACAGGTGACTGTTTTACACAGTGACATTAGTTCTATATTGAAAAAATGCAAGGGGGGGGGGGGGGGGGGTGGGATGGAAAGTGACCATTTGTACAGGTGGCTGACATATAGTGGTGGCCGTCTTGGCAGGTTCGACAGTACCTGAAATGGCATATTTGGTACCAAGCCATGGTTCTTCTCTCAGGCCTGGGAGGTTAATGAAGACTTTATTGTACAGCATGATCAGCATTCCTTGGGGCTTCAGGAAATCGAGGCACTCTCTGATGAGCTGTGAACAGTACAGCATGCACATATAAAATGAAGAGACTATATTTCTTCGAACGCTCGGGAAAATAAACCTGACCTTTATTTCTCTGAACCGTTTCCGTTTTCGAGATTTTTTAGTTATAGGCAAGAGTTCGGCGTCATCTTTCATTCTGTCATTTTGGGAGGACTGGGAAGAAGCATTTTTTGCATCGAATTTGATTTTTCTAGAGCTGGAGATTTTTAGATCTCTGAATATTCAGATACTTCAATTGCGATAGGGGCAACGTTCCCAGACTATACTTCATTTGAAAATGCCTTCAAAAGGTACTGCGAGAGAACAAAACTGCTCGACTTTGGCCGTAACCTATTTTGCATTTAGTCACACCTAAAGCAAAGACTAAACAAAAATTCCTCCACGCCCCCTCGTTCACACCTTACACACACACATACACACACCCCCACACACACACTCACGCAGGCACACTCACTCACACACACACACACACGTGGGCCACTCAATTCGCAAATAACCAAAAAATCTCGAGGACGGAAACCGTTCGGAGAAATAGAGTTGAAGTTTCTTTTCCTTAGCGTTCGGAGAAATACAGTTGGCCCATACAAAATGCACTGGGACCACACAGCAACAATGTACAATTCACAAACCTACAGAATAAAAGTAAATACAGGGCAACTCGCATTTGAACAAAATTGGGCTCAACAAGAATTCAGACTGAACTCAAGGAAAAAGATAACCCCCTTTTTTTCCCAACACATTAACCTCTTCGCTGCCGCGCCCGCCCGCCCGTAGAATTTACGGGCCTCAACCATGCAGTGCTGCGCCTATGGCCCGTAGAATTTACGGGACTGTGACAGAGGTTGTTTTGATACCAATTATAAGGGAAGTTACTGCTTAAATCTTGTCTTTATTATTGGGGTACCTTCCCTTTATGTTTACCACCATTCCCCCCCCCCCTCCCCACATTTGAAAGCGTCAGATTCAGATTTTAGCTCAAAGAGAAAATTAGATTCAGATCTAACACTTCTACTGCACAAAAATGATTTATTGTCAGTAAACACAGATGGGCTTACATGCATCTATATATATGGATCATACGAGCATTGTATAAGGTAGGAAAAGCCTCTTTACCTGCAGACACTCACACAATATGTACTCCCCCTTTTTTTGGTCTCAGTTTATCATTACTCGAATGTGTGTTGTTTTATGTTGTTTGGTGGTGTTGTTTTTGGCATCGTGTTACCAACTCCAACTTTTCTCCATCTACCTCTCAAAAAAGTCCCCCTAAAATTATATCAATAGAAAAGTGGTTCAACGTAGAATGTTTATGCAGAAATCCGTGAGGAAATAATCATAAATAAAAAAGTTATGGGAGGTAGAGTGGGGTCACCCCTGAGCAGCCTTGGTTCATGGGATTTTCCCCCGGCACAGGGGCCTATTTACCTGCAGCATTGAAGGGGTTAAGATCAATGTAAATACCTTGCATTCAACGAACACTTAAAAGGGCAAAACTCGAACTTAGTTACAAAAGCAATATCATTAAAACCATCTTTTAAACAAATCCCTAGAAAATCAATGCGAAGACTAGATATACTTGATGTGGAAACAAGAAAACAAATCCCTAGAAAATCAATGCGAAGACTAGATATACTTGATGTGGAAACAAGTTTTCTCATTGCATTGTCTTTTCAATGCTTAATAGCGTGAGCATAGATGCCTCAGGAGGGACTTGCAATATCCAATTAAATGATGAAAAATTCAGAAGCATTGAAGCCCTCTCCTTGCCTTATATCCCCTGTATCTTGACAAGGGACCAAGCATTCAGCCTCAGAAATAACCGTAAATGTGTCGAGAAGGGTATTTAACTTTAGCATTATTTATCATTTCATTTTCTTTCATTGAGGCTGACATGTTGCCATTATGCACTGGTATGTTGTAAAATACACCTCCACTGACACACACGTACACACACACACACAAAGGTGAACACAAATAATATATGTTATGACGCGATGGAATCAGGCGTTCGTCAATTTTTGGGAAAGTGGAGTTATTGGTATCATCTAACAGCTGATTATTTGCCTTGCATCAAATGAAATAAACATCCATTTCTCTGGAAGAGAAATCAAGATACTTGCTATTGAAGGTAGTGACGTTGCCTGGTTTAAGTGGTGAAATTAGCGAGGAAATGGCCGCCAGTTTTGTAACTCCAATAACTATAGTCTTTGGAAAATAATAAAAAATGGCTTATTTTCTGCTTTTTATAAATGTTTTTCCACAAATTTCATATAGAAATGTGTTTTTATACGCACATAAAAGAGGTTAGCCAAAAAATAAAAATTCAATCAAAATGTCCAAACTAGCAGGAAAATGCCTGTTTCTCGGATTTCGTTATTTTGATGAGCTCCTGATTTCACCAGGCTTCCTCACATATGCACATAGGTAGGAGACAGCTGACAGACCTGCTCATTATACTCAAAGTAGAGTGTCCTGCCACACAGATAGTGCTCCGGAGGATACATATGCATGTTCTCTGCTAGCTCCTCCACATAGGAATAGATGGAATCCTGTTTAGATCAGTTTATCATTATTATTCTAGCAAAAATAACCAAAAACATACAAGTCAAGTTTGTGTGTATGTATGAGTGCATATGGTTGCAGATTGTTCATGAAGAAGCTTGTATGGAAGAAATAGTGTGAGTGTGCATGCGTGTGTGTGTGTGTGAGAGACAGAGAGAGTGAGGCAGAGAGAGAGAGAGAGAGAGAGAGAGAGAGAGAGAGAGAGAGTACTTGGATGAGTAAACAGGGGTGGGAGGTGCTGCTTCTGTAAACACGAAAGAAAAAGTGTGCCAGTCGCGACCTCTGAGACTTTTTGCCCTTATCCAAGAAAGCTATGAGTTAGATCGAATCTACAATAAGATCAGGGGTGTGGCTGAAAGACAGCAATAAGGAGCCAAGGAGTAGCAGTGGAAAGGCTGCAGAAAGAGTCAGGAGCCAAGAGGAGGTGAGGGGGTGAGGGCAGAAAGTGGAGACAAAAACAGATGACAGAACATTGTTAGAGAGCAGGAAAAAAGGTGAAAGGAGATCAATTTAAAGAAGAAAATTTTCCGTCGCTATACAAATTCGAACTCGTGACCTATTGAATGAGAGGTGAACAGAGAAATCTCTCGACCATGAGAGCTCCTAGAATCTGCTCCCCATCAACATGGTGGCGTCAGTGGCCTGGTGGTTAGGCTAACAGACTTGTAATCGTGAGGTTGCGGGTTCGGGGCTCAAGCCGCGTGCCCGACATTGTGTCCTTGGGGAAAGACACTTTACATGAATTTTCCCCACTTCACCCAGGTGGAATTGGGTACCCAGCTGTAGACAAAGAAAGATCTCGTCAGTTTTTTAGTGTTTGAGCACTTAACCAGCTGCTTGCACTTCATGCTTCCCGGGAAGTTGAGAATGTTTCTGAGTGTTTTTTGGTCTGCTGGGGTAATAATACAGCGTAAATCGCATAGAGCTTGCTTTCGAGTGGGGACATGCGCTATACAAATGCTATTTATTATTATTATTAACATCACATCGGAGTGCCACCCTGTTCAGGTCACCTGTTCTTTGAAGATATACTTGGTCTCCTCAATATGCTTCTGCTCCTCAAACACATGTGCGGGCAAGTCTTTCTTCAGAAGTAAGATGTACTGGAAGATCACCCCCAGAACCTGAGCATTGAAAAAAAAAAAGAATTTAAAGACGGGTGCAAAGGTGTTGGTTCTTGGGGTGAAGGAAGCCACTTAAATGGTTATGCAATGAAACTATCCCAATAAAAGTGAAATTCATTCTATAACAGAGCAGCCTTCTATAAAATATAATTCAATATGTCAGTCATTTATTCATTATTTTAGACTACTCTGATACACTCAATGTACTGCACTCTATAGATTACGGTGCCCATGTTGCCTATAATCACCTAATCCTATACCCCTGAGTCTGTCTGTACTGATTAAAATAAAAGACCCCATCATCAGTTGGTGTGCAACAAAAAAACTTTCATAAATGTAACATTGTTTTATGCACGTAAATCTAGTCCATGTTAGCCAAAAACTGTAGAATATCAACACCAGGAAAAAAATTGTCAATTAAAAATGTGAGGTGTCCTGACAAAATGAGTTACTTCTCGCAATCCAAAAATAGAGATATTGGTAACAAAAAAAACGTGTAGCATTTCTATTGATGTGATATCATTTCACTAACCATGCCGTATATTATTTCATACTTCTAAAATAATGTAAAAACTTCACCTATAAGCATGATGTATCTATTTCCATAAGGCTTGAATCCGAAAAGTAACTGATTTTGTCAGCCCGCTTCACAAATAAACTATTCATCACCTCCTCATACTGCTTCATGCCCACGTCGGTCAGTTTGATGGACAGTATGAAAGCTGACCAGGTGGAGTTGTGTGTGTAACCTGTCATATCATTGCCTCCAGACATCTCTAGCGCCAAGTGCCTGGACCAATAAGAAGGACCCTCAAGTCAAATCAATCTCTCATTCTTTTCCACCCTTTCTGTAATGTTTGTGTCTGATGTGAAAATGGGAATGAACTGTGTTGCGAGTGTTGAAAAAATGATTCTCTATTGTCACGGTTGTGTCCCCCTTCTTGGTACGTCACACATCGCCTCGTTTTCAATATGCACACAGGATTTCAGTGTGATCTTAAGTAAATAAAGGTCAGTTACCGGCAGGCAGGCAAGGAGAGCAGTTGTGTTGTTGTCTCTCTTCATGTATTAATCTTTTTTATAATGTGAGGCCATAGGTAGCCGTCACACCTTCCACATTTTTACACTTTTATTTCACCTTTTTTTTTCAAGCTAAGCATTGCGAGAAAATAGTTCCCTCAGATTTAATTGCTGTTTGCTTTTCTATTTTTCCATGAAGTTTTTTAAATCAAGCAGGAAACCGTAGTCAGTCTTCCAACTTCAAGAGAAAGAGAAAGGGAAGGGGCCATGGCAAAATGATCAAAATAATGAGCATAGTTTAACATTATTTTAATTTCCATAATCAAAATGTTCTAATCTTTTTTAATACTTTATTGACATTATTACTAATAATGCCAATATCATCATTATCCTTCTCATAATATTAAAATATCATTGCAGCTTCTGAGACAATACACACCACCACTCCTTGTGAGTTTACAGTCTACTTCAAAATCAAGCCCGCCATAACAGACTAGTCAAACGGTTCAAAAGAATGTTTTTAAAAATAAGAAATATAAAGATATCTTAATACATAAGACAGTTAGAAAATTGTCCCTTTAAAGCAACTAACCTTGTATCCATGAAAGAAATCCCTTACCTTTTCCTCAAGACTGACAAAATACTTCCTTTCCCCTCATGGCCCAGCAGCAAAGACAAAAACTCAATCACTCGAGCCCTAAGGATGGAAAAACAGTTTTAGGAGGAAAAAAAGGAAACTCAAACCGTAAAACCCTCTACTAAAAAAACCACCAAAAAACCACCAGAATTTTTCTCAATTATGATATATTCGAGAAACTAAGAACTGTGATATACTTTTATCAAAGTAAAAAGCAGATATTTCTGTAATGTAACACAGACAAGGGTTACAAGATAGGTTAGTCTAAAATGTTCAGGCACAATGATTCAGAGCTATCAATGTACACAAAGTTAAATTCATTAACAATCTTCCCAAATATTCTTCCCAGAATTCTAAATTTCTTTTTACTTCTTCACTAATGTTTTACTTTCAAACACAGACATTCAAACACTGTTTCTTTTTACAATTCCAAGGCTTCTACAATCAAGGGGAAGACCAAGTGGAACATGGAGAAAAGTCACAGAAATCGATGTACAGAAAAGTTGGAAGACGTGGAATAATATCAAGAGGCTAGCCCAGGATAAGAAAGGTGGAAAGCGTTTGTTGGTGGGCTATACCCTGACCCAGTGTGAGAAAGGCAATGATGATGATGAAGGCTTATACAATCAGGAAAAGAATTACATCCCCAAGAACAACAAGCACAGACTAGACCATTTCATTTACAAGATGGGCTTCTTCCAGTTTTTTTACCCCCAACTGTATGGCACACTGCATCTAGACTGAAAGAAAGAGACATTCAATAACACTTTTTTTCTACATAGAAATCAGATCCAAGTCGCTCACATAATAAAAGCCACCAACTTTTTACCAAGTAATACTCGCTGGGGAACGAGTATCCCGTTTTGGAAAGAGAAAGATCTTGTCTGATTGTTATTGTTTGAACATGTGAGATCTGCAGCTTGCACTGTATGCTTCCCGGAAAGCCAAGAATGTTTCTGAGCGTGAACATGGGATATATTATAACTGCAATTATTATCATTATTATTACTTACAAAAGAAAGGTTTACCTGTAATGATCCATAAGGGGAGGGAGAGCCCAGATCAGTTCCATTTTGTGTACATCTTCCATTGGAATCACTTGATATACAAACCAAATAAGAACACAAGAAACTAGGATTTTAAAGTAGCATTAAATTTCAGTTACATTGGAGATTAGGAAAGACAACATAAATAATTAATTGATTCCATTGATTCTCTACCTGAAGACATTGAAATTATGTTTTTACCAGCTTCAAAGTATATTATTATATCGTACCAGCAGAATACTAACATTGAAACGTACATACAAACACACACACATACACACACACACAAAGCTAGAATTAAATCTGCACTGTCATAAAAAAATACCAAAAGTATTTGTAACATCGACAATTTTGGACCTAGATTGTGAAATTGAGTACAGAAAAAAACAGGTGTGTTAAGGAATTTCAGTGACAATCTTGATTTGGACAGTGACTTGGCTTGGGTAGTAGGTCCATAATTATTGTCTGTGACACAATGCACTGCCATCCAAAAAATATACTTTCAAGTGTAAAATTCTCATAAAGAAAGAAGTATCATCACGTCTATTTCTAACAACATTGCACACGATATGATAAACACACACACACACACACATACAGCACCTTACTTTATCAGCACAATAGCATGCTAAGAGGGTCAAAGCCCATTTCAACACAATAAACCTATCGAACTCATTCATTACATAATTTTTCTTAAATTCTAACATAAACTTCTCTTCCGCTCTCTAAATAGCCCACAGAGGCAGCACATATCTGCCATTGACATCCATCTCCATTAGGACAGAATAAAGTGGGCAGAGAGCCATGACAGTTCTTCAAACAACCAAAGTGGGTGGTTGGCGGGAGCTCTGGTGTGGTTTGCTTCTTCTTTCCTATCAAACATCTGTCGTCCTTATCTCCCCTTCTTTTTTATGTCAGTTACTCTCCTGTAACAGCTTTAATCTTCTGCCGCTCATATGACCTTATGCAGTTGTGAGCCCCGTAAAACCTCTACTAAAGCTAAAACAATCAAAGTTTTTAAAAAGTTGAAGATAAAAGATAGGACTGCACTCATCCCAGTCAAGCTTGATACCAACTGACCAAACAGCGTAATATTCTCATAGCATTATGGCTGGATAAAGAATCATCCAAAACTGGCCCACCTTTAAATTCGTTTTTAGGAACGGGAAATTTCATTCAAGAATCATGTATGAATAATTCTTATCCAAGAAACAAATTCATCCTTTCTCTCATTGTCTATAAGCGAGACTGGAAAAAGTACCGTAACTCTTTCTGAATTCACCTTTCCATTAAAAGGAAACAGAAACGGTTTTATTCACAGATGAGAATTGGCAACCAGTTCAAGACAGTATTTATTTGTGTCCACAAATGAAAAGTTCAGAAAATGACATTATGTACCTTCTGTGACGAGGATAACGTTTCTGATTTCAGTAAGGTTTGTTGAAACAACACATGGAAAGGAATCTCTAAACATATGAATTTAACCCTATCCGTACGTCATGTTTTACTATCGTACCCACACAACGTGGGGAACTCTGTGCCACCACTTTCCGAAGATGAAATTTACTCGTTAATCCGATCCGTACGCTTTGCATAGCAGTCTGTCAAAATGACTTTTTGAGAAATACTGAAAGTTTCGAAGAGATCTTCGCACTAGAGGTATTTTAAAAAGAGAAGAATAGAACCCCGCGGGTAATAATGACCCCAGGGCGTACGGAGAGGGTTAAAAGGATCAATGATTCACTACAACAGAAATAAATTCAGAGTATAACACACTAAACAGACATCTGATCAAGCTTCAGAATAACAGTTAAGAAAAAAGAGACAAAAACAAAAGGAAAAAAATCCTATGGAAGTTCTAAGGTCAACACTTGTGCCTACCTTTCAGCAGTTTATTGAAGCTTCTTTCTTGAAAGGGTGGCTTATGAATGAATGTTATGTATTAACTGATGTTAGTCTAAAAAGAAACTTTACAATTAAATCAACCAAGTTTGTTTGAATACTGAGAGGTACATCTACACAAAAACAGTCATTTAGTACTGGGGAAAAAGTAAAACAGACAAACAGAAATAACAGAAGGGGAAAAAAGGAAGTACAGGACCTACCAATCAATGGCACCCTCCAATCACCAGTTATATCAAATAAAATATTATTGGTCTAATAATAATCAAACCAAAGACATATAAGAGCTCGAGCATTCTTGAAACTTTTCACAAAGGGGGCAACTTTTTTCTTATGCATTCAAAATACTAAACAGTATTTGCATTAATATCTCTACAAACTGCATCCCCGCTCAGCAACTAATGTAAGCACAAAGTAGAGTAAAGAAAACGAATGTATTGAACGATTAACTTATTACTGGTCATAAATTGATCTATATACACATTTCAGTACAAACATACAATGGGACGCTTGGCATGCCTTCTAGCTGAACAGTAAGACTTTCCTTCCTTGCATCTTTCATATACTTGAGCTACTTGTGATGTAGGCCCCTACCTTGTCAAAAAGTAAATTTTGAGAAAGTTTTCAGAAACTGCTTACCTTGATAAACTTTGGCCTTGGAATTGCACTGTAATAAAAGATAGATACGCTCGGATTAAAAAAATGAGAGTGTGTGTGTGCTTGTCTGTGTGTGTATGTGTGTGGGGGGGGGGGGGCATGTATAATCATTTGTGAGACATCGTGGTGAAATCAGGCGCTCGTCAAAAGAGGGAAAGCAAAGAAACTGGCATTTTTCTGGGCTTTGGGTAATTTTGTTGTTGTTGTAATTCTCTATTTTTGGCTCAACATCTTAAATGCACATTTGAAAACACATTCGACCATATGCGCATTTTACTGGAAAAACATTGATCAAATGCACAAAATGTATAAATTGGCATTTCCCAATCACTCTCAAGCTTTGGTAGTTAATAAACTTTGTAGGCCATTTTCTGGTTAATTTTTCTTTTGAAACAAAGCATCAACATCTCCTTCAATTGTAAATATCTCGACTCCTATTCAGAATGGATGTGTAATTTTTTCAAAGAAAGCAAGCCAAACGAACAAGTGTTATGATGAAACCAATAACTCCACATGCCCAAAAATTGACAAGCGCCTGATTCCATCACGTCACGACACATTTATATTTTATTATCATTCGCACAAGGACAGCTGAGCTAGAAATTAATAAGAATGGATGTTTCTCCAGTAATGTTTGTAGAGAGTTCGCAACAGTGTACCTCACACAGACACAGCAGCAAAGGAAATTGAGGGATCAGAAGAAAGAAGTAGATCATTAGAGGGAAAAAAAAACCCACACCTTCAAGTGAGAGCATCATCAGCCAATATAATGTGAAAAACTCCTGGGAGGGAGAGCAGATCAAGATCATACTGCTCTTGGGTGTCCAGCTCTTTTTCTTCTTTTCCATAAATTCAAAGCAAAGTCCATTGAGCAAAATAGTCATCCTTAACTCCCATCACCCAGAATTGATTTCATGGATTTTCCTGAACAGCTAGAATTAAATATGTGCTGTCTTTCAAAATTCCCATAAGTATTTGTATCATCCACAATTTTAGACCTAGATCGTGAGATTGAGTCAGAGTAAGAAAAAAGCAGGTGTGTTGTAAAGGAATTTCAGTGACAATCTTGATTTGGACAGTGACTTGGCTTGGATAGTAGGTCCATAATTATTGTCTGTGACACAATGCACTGCCATCCAAAAAATATACCTTCAAGTGTAAAATTAATTCTCATAAAGAAAGAAGTACCATCACGTCTATTTCTAACAACATTGCACACGATACGATAAAACTGGTCAAATAAAACATAAAAAGAACATTGTTATATGTGAGGTGTGCTGACAAAATGAGTTACTTCTCGCAATCCACAAATAGAGATATTGGCAAAAAAACGACATTAGGGTCAAATGTATAGAGTTTCTATTGATGCAATATTCTTTTACTATAACATGCCCTTTATTATTTCATACTTATAAAATGTAAAAACTTCACCAAAAAGCATGATATATCTATTTCCATAAGGCTTGAATCCGAGAAGTAACTGATTTTGTCAGCCCACTTCACATATCTACTATTGTTCCACTTACTTGTTAGGAATTTTGGAAAATATTCTTATAATCTGCTTCTCGATCACATCCAAAGTATCTGTAAAAAAGATAAATTATGGCAGACATCCTAACCATACAGAGTGCATAACACAGCATAACATTTTTAACACCCCAAGGGGAGGGATTATATCCATTCATCTGTGCAATGATTTTCAGAAGAGAGGCAGATAAGGAATATACACCCTTCTGGGCCACACACCTAGGAGGGTAGTTTTTGTAGTCTAGCAATAAAGCATGGTATTTCGAAAGAAAAGGTTGGGGATTTAATTATCAGGTTGGTTAAGAGGATGAAATATTCCTTGTACTTATTGTCATCAGTTCATACAGCTACAAATGGGTGAGGATACTGGTAGCTAGAAAGAGTATGAGAAAAACCGTTGCCTGCATATAACACACTGCAAAGCTGTACATGTCACATGGAACTGAGACACTGTATTGAAATGATCTTCCTGACGAACAGAGATGTAAAGTTGAGCAATAATAGAGATGTGAAGTTATGCAAGCTTTCAATATATATCAACGTCAGGATGAAAATTGTTTCCTCTGAGAGATAAAGATAAAAACAACTGCTTTCACAATGTAACACTACAGAGCATGAGGCCTTACATAATATATTAACACAATTTTACCTCAAAATAAAAGAAAGCACAAAGACAGCACTTCAACTAACAAAATTAAAAATAAATGAGGTAAAGAGATAAAACCTACCAGTTTGTTCTCAATCTCCTTCCTTAAAGTCGAAGCTTTTCCATAGTTAAATACATTGGAATCTACACCATTAGCAAATAAAACGATTTACCGTTTTCTTCCCAACTGAAAGACTCACCCATTGAATGAATAACGAGCGTCATGTAATGTGCGGAGTACATGCGGCGGTAGAAAGCATGAAGCTGCTCATAAACATTGATGTGTTTTTGTTCAGGATCATCCTTGAGGGACTTTTTGTTGCCTGAAAGCAGATCAAATTAAACGTAACTGCCAACGCTTTATGTCATATTTGTAATATCCTATCACGTCGTGAATACAAGGAAGGATCCATAACAGAACACAGCGGATTATGCACAGAGGTTCAATGGCTCATGTTGCGGCCTGCACACTCGCAATGCGAACAAAAAAACAAAGACAACAGCGAAGCAAAGCGAGACCGTAATTAGGTTACCAGGACACAGGAAGTAAAACAATGAGGTCATAAGTACCGTAAACATTAAAATATCATGACTCTTAACACTTTTATCCACACAATTTAGATTGTTTATGAGATGGGCTGCTTTGACCCTGCCTGTCAAAGCCAGCCCGTGCTCAGAGGGACTCGAATGTCACAGCAGAAAGATGAAACATTCAATAAAAACTCTCCCTACTCAGGAATCAAACTCAAATCAGCTGCATGTGACAGCAAAGCACCTAGCCTGTCTGTCTGAAAAGTGAGTATATTATAGCAACAAAAAAAACTCTCACAATTTTGCTTTAAAAAAAAAGAAGCATAACATGAGAATTTACATTCAATGCACAATATGTCAACCCTATCCGTACTCCCTGCGGTCATTTTGTACTCCCGGGGTTGTATTATTCACACTTTAGAATACTTTTAATACAAAGATCTCTTCGAAGCTTTCATTTTTTCTCAAAATTTCATTTTGACCGACTGCTATGTAAAGCGTACGGGAAAGTGGTGGCACAGAGTTTCCCATGTTGTATGGATACGATAGTAAAACACGACGTACGGAGAGGGTTAAAGTTCTATTAACTTTTGACACATCATATGCCTCTTACCTGCCATGAACTTCTTCATAGGATGGCCTTGTTCCACCAGCTCATGTGACATGACACTTCTGACCCTCTCGTTGTCATTACTTGCAACCATCTGGCATTCTTATGACAAAAAAATAAATTAAAAAATAATCGTTTACATCTTGTCTTCAAAATTATAAGCACAATACAGCCATCTTCAAACTGTTTCCAGCACACTGTTGGCCATTTAGTCTTGTATTGAATTATTGACTTGATAAAGCAGAAAGAAGACTCTGCTGCATTTCGCATAAAACAGTAAAAAAAGTAAAGTTGTTCCCGCATCCAATCCCGATATTGGAGATTGCCTTGTTAGTGAGACAACTTACTGGGCCTTCGGCATATTGCGGTAGGGTGGCCAGTTCCTTTCCACGCCGCCTTTACTTCCCCAACTCGAAGTCAGGTACCTATTACTGTTGGGCGGGCAGGAGAGGGCTAAAAAAATCCGTGTCCGAAACAAGGCTCGAACCCTGACTTTCCGCTTCGGAGACGAGAACACTAACCTCTCCGCCACCGCACCCAAAAAACAGTGACGCAAACAAAACAATGATCAAGCACCACAAAGTCTATATATATAAGCTGATGGTTAAGTGTACTTCATTCCTGAAATTGAAATCATAAATTTTGGTTCTACAGAGCCTGAACCTCCCCATCAAGAAGGTGCCATGTCTTCTTTAATACTCCAGAAGTGACAGAAAACCAGACAACTGCCAAATTTTAATGACATCTCTGTGCAGACTGAGTAACACATCATAAACACAAAATGATAATACTTCTCCTATAAACTGTAAAAGTATCTCTTTAGCCACTTCATGGTGCTAAAAGTGACAAAGGTCGTTCCTTTCTCATTCGTGGTCATTCAGGCCTCTGAAAAAAGAAGCTTCTGGTTCCATATTATATATATATATAATATACAATCAGAAGTTGCATACTTTTTTGTTCTTCATCTCAATCAAATCGTACTTGAAAAATGGTACCTATCATATGCTGGTTAAGTTCTTTTGTTGGCCCATACAGCTTCTCCTGCAGTAGGCCTATTAAATGGGGTTGGCCATTGTTTAAATCTCAGGCCTCAGTGCCTTGTTTATCTTAGGGCCTACAATGCTGGAGTATTTATATGTTCCACAATTTGTGCGGTCTGTTTTTCTTTCCAGAAGTTGCATTTTAGAGCAGAACACAGAATTCCATTTAAGTGTTGAATTCTGTGGAGCAGAAGTATAATGTCAAGCCAGATTGCACTAAAGAGAGGCAATTAAAGGTAGAACACTTACCATTGTCAACTGCCATGATTTCTCTGTCCACAGAGTTTTTGTTGAAGAGCGGTCCTATAAAAAACTGAGCAAATATATCCAAAGCCTTTACAAACTCACTCTGCTGGGACACAAAGAAGAAACACGTCTGAAAAAAAGTTAAAAAATTCATGCAACCTTTAACTGAGAATTTCAGATAAAAAAGTAATGAGTAAATTATAAATTGCCTGGAACTCGATCAACATAAAACCTGAATTTCTAAAAATAGAATAACAATCAAATTTTAATGTCCAAATCCAAGAATACACTGCAACAATGATTGCTCCTGAAACAGCATACAATTCGTGAATCTGTACTTTCGCATTTAGTACCGTGATACTGCTCAGTGGATAAATTGACAAAATGGATAAAAGGAAGAAAAGATAGTAGTAGAGAAAAATATCACATTTCTGTACTTTAGAAATGGTGTTCATGCGAGTAAGTCTACCACGAGGGGTTATTATATATTCTTTTGTCCCGCCATTCCACCCCCCCCCAAAAAAAGTAATTAAAATCACTTCCACTGATTGGAATAGCAGTTTTTGACTAGTATAATACTGAACGTTATATAAACAATTATTGGTGGAAACAGACAGGCCTATCAAAGAAGCATGCACTTCTGTTTATTTTAAGTTTTAGTAAGAGCCTTGCAGCACTTGCAACACAATAAGGTCATATAAGTGCCGAAGATTAGAGGTGTTACAAAAGAAGGAGGAGAGATCAGGGCAATAGATGTTCAATAGGAAAGAAGAAGCAAACCACACCAGGGCACCCGCCAACCACCCACATAAAATGACAAACCAGTAACGCACACAAAAGTTTGGATAAGACTCAAATTCCTGTAAGTGAGAATGTCTCAAGGTTTCACTACAATTAAGTGAAAAATAGGTCGCTTTTAAGCACAAGAGGGCTATCCCAAAAAGTGTTGTTTAGAGAAAATCGGAGGTAAAGTTTTTGCCTTTTGTTCAGTTTCTTTAAATGACAAGGAGAGTTTTCTCTATAACCAAATAAATATATACACACCAATGAAACCAAACTTCTCCATAAGATAGGGCAACGCCCACTTTTGGTGTACATCACGATTTCTGGAAACCCTCGAAATCTGTGTTAGCGCGCTTGTCCAATCGTGGATCTTCCTGTGCCTTTACTTCCCACAGAAAACTCACCCTTTCACAGTCAGTCCATGCATTGGACTCTCCTCTGTTTTTGGCCAAGAATTCGTCCCAATAGTTTTCCTTGGGAAACTTCTTGCTTCCCATAAAAACCACTGTAACATAAGTAAAAAATTGAAGAAACCAATCAGTAATACTAATGAATTAGTCTAAGGGCAAGACAAGACATAATGCCAGACAAGGTACAGCTGAAGCTGCTTTGTCCCAGGCATCAGAGTCCATGTGCTAAATGTCATTATTAATAATATCAAATACTATCTTTGGTACTTTCGATTTTCTTGCCACTTCCAGATAGTAAAACCAGTCACTTGCGCAGGAACCAAGGATGAGAAATGAACCCAAAGCCCAAAGCTAAACTATTCCAATGATAGTTCAACACTATACCAACCTGTTTTTCCATTACCAGACTGTTTCATAAAAAGCCATATTACTACCGGCTGTAGCCACAACAGCTACAAAGAATTAAGTCTCAAGTATTCATCATTATTCATTCAACAACAGTCCAACCTATCCAAGACAACAACCCAATGCCAGGAGAAAAGCCTTTCCGTTTGGTTACAAAAACAGTAAGAGTTTTACGGCGCTTGCAACTGCATAAGGTCAAATGAGTCAACGAAACACAAGTGGATCACATTCACAACAGTTCATAGCACGGCTTGATTTTAATTTAGAAAGAGTCTGCGATGCTCGTAACTGCTTAAGGTTATGCGAAAAGTGTACACACTGTGTTCCATAAAATGTGCAAAGCCTGGGATTTCTGGCAAGTCAGAGAAACTTCCTGCTCCCACACATAATGCTGCAGCTGCCTTGAAAAAAAAAAAAGAGAAAAAAATAATTAAAAGGGCGCGACGATGGAAAATGACATGGCATTGGCCTATATAGCATGAAAAGGTGGGGTTTTGGTTACAAATGATAAATAATACAAAAATATTTTATTCTATGACCAAATATTTTAGCTAACTCTTTATCTCCTGCAAGCAGCTAGATCTACCAGCAGCTTGAGGTCAGAACCGTTGCGTTGGTGATCCAAGGTCAGCCACTCGTGCACATTCCGGTACGACGACATCGACGGTGACATTTCATTACTTTTTGTACTTTTAGTTAATTACTTAAGATAGGTCTCTCGTTCTATGAGTTCTTTCATTACACGAGGAACTATCAAAATAAGTTCATTCATTTTGACTGAAAGACCAATTTAAATTAATGACTTGTATGTCACTCTCAGGTTTCGTACCAAAAGAGGGCTCTGGCATTCTGGGGAACCTCCTTCGGAGATAAAGAGTTTAATGCACCCACCTACTGCATTCATTAAGTACTATGCATTCAGCATGGCGTAAGGATTAGTAGTAAGAACACAGAGTTATCATGGCCTAAAGGCCAAAGGTACAGTGTTCACCTCTCATTCAGTACGTCCCAAATTCAAAACCTGACAGTGACGAAAAATGTTCTTCTCTATAATTTTCTTTCATCTCCTTTCCTGTTTTCTAGTCATGTCCTGTCATCTGCTTTCCTCTCCACTTTCTGCCCCCCCCCCTCCTCTAGGGCTAAGCGCCTATCTCCTTTACCCGCACGAGCAAAATTCAAAATAAATTAAGTCCTACCACAACTGAAAATACTCTAGTCAATATAAAAACGTATGAAGTATCTTCCAAATTAGCAGGTGGCTGCCTGAAGGCAAGGGGCCCTACGAAGTAGGAAAAACGGTCACATATGTAAAATTCAGTTCCACTACAAGTTGAACAACCAGCAGTTGACAACCTCGGAAATCTAACCAGGGAACGCAAATAAGAGAAGAAGTCGTAAGAATAAGAATAAAAGGGGCAAAAACATCGCACAGTGATTACCTCTCCTTCTACATACTCTTCTTTTTCGAACTCTTCTACTTCCATATCTTCAACGTCCATGTCAGGCTTGGAATCCTCAACAGGATAATACAGGGCCTCTGAGATCAGCATGGCAGTTATGCCATTTGGAAGGATGACAACCCTGAAATTCAAAAGAGACTCTTTTGTCAGGGGCTGTATGATTCAAGACCCAAAGTGACCTAGAGACGCACAGTAGAGTCTGAAATGAAGTCCTGGAACCATTCGTCAGGGACGTAGACCAAGATGGCCCAAAACAGACAGAGCTGGAGATCCTTTGTTGCTGCCCTAAACGCTAGATGGCGTAACGGGTAGTAAGTAAGTAAGTGTATGATTCAAGGTCACAACCGATTCCGTTCTAGACGGAAAGCAGCATTTTAAAAGCATTTGACAAAATGCCTGCAACAGAAAGTTATTTATACTTTTATTATCTAAGAATTTACTTTTAAGATTAAGAGTCTTCTATAATTATAAGGAAAAACAAGTTTGCAAAGTGGCATGTATAACACGAGGATGGATGTGATCTTTTTGAGGGATCGTCTTAGGAAAAAGCGTAACCAAAGTCATGTTTTATTATACTTCGGCCTTCAATAATATTATATAATATGTGAGGCAGCGTGGTGGAATCAGGCTCTCGTCAAAATAATCAAAGTGAAGAAATTTCCATTTTTCTGCAGGTTCGTGAATTTCTATCAAATTTTTGTTTTTTTGGCTCAACACCTTTCATGCCCATGAAAGAACTCATTTCTGAGTGAATTTTTCTTAAAAACGTTGATTAAAGGCACAAAAAAAGTAAATTTTCAGTTACCACGGACTCTTAAGCTTAGGAAATAACACATCTTTGGCGGCCATTTTTTCACTAATTTTACCTCTGAAAACAACTGACCCCCACCTCCTTCTTTTGCAAATATCTCGACTTGTATTCAAGATAAATGCAGGGCTTGAAATAGACCGCGGCAATTTGCCTTGGTGCCTTTGCAATTTACCGTAATGCCCTTAAAATCAAAGGGACAACCGCGGCAATTTTTGCCGTGCCCTTGTTTTTTGTTTTAAAAAATGTGCCACCATGAAAATAAATGAATATTTACCCTGTGCTGTCACTTGTGAAAAAAAAACAACAACAAAAGAACGTTAAACAAGCGTCTTGTCGGGTTCGCCACCGTGGCAGGTCAGTGACCCTAAACGTTGGTATCACAACTTAATCACAAGTTACGGCATCGTGTGAGCACTGGTTGTTGGGGTCACCAAAGTTCATTCAAAGTCTGAACACGGTAAAGTATGTGACTCCGGAATGGGGGCAATTATTGATTTTTTAAATTTTGAAGATACACGCGTGGGAGGGCGGGGGGTATGGAGAAATCCTGTCAGACTTGTCTGATATCTCATCAAAGCTTCAGTCTGACACTGCTCAGCTTGACAATTGTGTCCATTTTGTCATGGCTAGTGCAAACACACAGCAATGATAACCAAACCTCAGCAGTAGTGTCTGAAAAAATCTCTGGGTGAAAAAGAAGGCTGCAGATGTGAGAGATGTGGCAAGATAATTGTCTCACAACTAGACTTCCTGATAAAACAGCAACTTTCTCTGACATCATCTTCTCTGGTGATACTTTTTAAAATCACTTGTTTTTCCCCGTAAGGGACAAACAGTAAGCCAATCTTTTAGATGTGTGTGCCAACATATTTTCAATATACTGATCTAGTCATAAGTCATAATATGACCTGCTGATCAAGGGCGAAGGCTGACTTGTTTGACAGGGTAATCAAAGTGAGATGGGACCAGATAGGGCCTGGAGATACCACACAAGAATCTTACTCGAGGCGGCAACACTTGAGTTGTGAATTAAAACAAATCCTGAATTCATGTTGTATGCATGTTCAAAATAATTGGGAAAGTATCTCATTAAATATTTATTACAACAAACATTAAATTTATCTTTAGATGTGAATACACAAACACAAAGCAAAGAAGCAGAGATGTCACTTCTACAGTATGTTATACCAGTGAGACTAGACTCTGTGGTAGAACATGACAATTATTATTATTTTTATTTCACATTTGGCTGTTTTTGTCTAGCGTTTCGCAGCCAGGAGCCGGTGTCATAATCGGGGTCACCATCTGATTATAGGATGGTAAAAAGTCGAGGAAAAAAACCATAAGCACTCGCAGCAGTCAATATATTATTAGGAGTTAGTTCCCCTCACATCTGTGAGGTAGACTCGACCAGTGTAAAAGTTAGCTTACATAATCAGTGCTTGTGACTGCTTATAACTGTGACCCGAAAGGGGTGAACAGGGTATATGTGGCAATGAAACAGCTTTGAGTGTTGAGTACATGTTCCCTTCAACTCTTTTGGAAGACTCTTCCAGCCTCACTGTAAGCTTACTTAATCAAAGCTTGCGACTGCTTATGGAGTGGCCCAATAGGGGGTGAACAGGCTATTTCTGTGGTAAAGAAACCGTTTTGAATGTTAGGCATACTGTTCATTGGTGATTATGAACGTCTTTTGACATAATTTAATTTATGAGGTTACGTCTGTGGGTGAATTTGACTGCGACAACGTTTCAAAATTAGGAAGGGAAGCAGTGATTATTTGATTATACTTTACTTTTCCGATCCAGCGGCCATTTAGGTTCTAGCCCTTCGGTCTGTCGATATGGCAAAGAATTGACAGGTTTTAATCAGCTGTGCTTTGTCGCTGTATAGAGTGTTTCCGATGTCTGGGGAGGCAGGTAGGTAGGTGCTACGCAGATCACAAAGTGCTGGGCAGTTAAAGAGGTGGTGTGGTACTGTTTCATCCTGGCAGTCGCACAACGGGCAGTCGGGTGGGGTATCCTTGCGGATCCTATTACGGTAGGAATTTAGTGGTATGTGTTGTGTTCGCAGGCGAAATATCGTGACTTGTTCTCTTCTACTCAGGGAATTTATTGCACCTTTAGAGTTGGGGGCTGTCATGTGTGCAAATACAGTTCTTTCAGTTTTGCCCATTGCCCATCCATTCAGCCACTGTTCCCTGGTGTTGCATTTGATGATGTTCTTGGCTGTCTGTTGTGATACTGGGTTGTGTGGTTGTGTTTGTGTTGCTCCCTTCTTGGAAAGGGTGTCTGCTCTGTCGTTTCCTGGGATGTTGCTGTGGCCAGGTATCCACTGTAGTGTCAGGTCGACGGCATAGGTCTGTATGAACGTATTGATTGTTTGAGCCACGGATAGGCAGGCTGGGCTTTCGAAATTCATGTTTTCCAAGGCTTGGAGTACTGACTTTCCGTCTGTGAAGATTTTAGTGTTCTAGATTTTGCTTGGATGTATTATGAAAATGTTGCTCAGGTGGAGAATTGCTGCTTCAATGGCGATTGCCTCAGCCTCGTAATTTGTACAAGAAGTACCACATGCGTCAAATAGCTCTTCACATGTTTAGTCAAGATGTTCAACTCTTACCCCAAAGCCTGCGTTTATAGTTCTCTTGAAGGCTGACCCGTCTGTATAAATATGAATTGAATCACTAGGGTAGGAGTCAATTGTCTTCAGAGCTGTTGTCTTCAGTTCTACTGGGTCACATTCCTTTTTCACTGTCTCTTTTATGAGGGAGGTTTTGATGTTGGCATTCTTGATGTTAGTGTTTGGGGGGGGGGGGGAGTTCTGGTCTTAAAGGATTCAGCATTTCTCTGTTACATGGAAGATGGTGTTTTTCTGCTAGTTCAGTGGCTGTGTCAAGTATTGATCTTCCAAGAATTCGTTTCTTTGGTCGTCTCTGTTCAATTATTTTCCTGTTTGGGTGGTTTTTCTCCAGTCTTTTGTAGCGCTCACTCATCTCTACAACTGCTGCCTCTCTCCGCAAGTCCAAGGGTTCCAGGTTCGTATGGATTTCACAAGCTGCAGTTGGAGTGGATCTCAAAGCTCCGGAGATAAATCGTACAGCTTGATTTTGAATTTTGCCAAGAGACCTCTGAGTTGGTTTGCTGCAGATTGTAAGGTTAGGTTATATTCCATGGCAGATCGTACATAGCCAACATATAGCTGTCTGCGTGCATCCTTGTCCGCTCCCCATGAAGTGCTAGCCAGTCGTCTGAGAAGGTTAAGTCTCTTGTTGGCCTTCGTCTTCAGGTTCCAGATATGGTTTTTGCATGAAAACTGTCTGTCCAGCTCGATCCCAAGCTAGGTCGGGTTTTCAACTTTTTCTAGTTTGTTTCCTGCAAGTAAGATGGTGAGATTTTGCTTTGCAACTGTGTGGCTTTTTGTAAAGACGGTGTAGATTGTCTTGGTACAATTTGCTTTTAGTTTCCACTTGCAGCAGTAGTTGTTGAATCTATCTAGATCCTCATTTATAAGCCGTGCACTGATGCCAGCTTGTTTACTTGAATGCCAGATGGCTAGGTCGTCGGCATATAGGGCCTTCTCTGATTTCAGTGTCTCAGGCAGGTCGTTGATGAAAACAAGGAAAAGTGTGCAGCTCAGAGAGGAACCCTGGGGTAGGCCCTCCTCCAGTACAGCTTTGGATGACACACCATTGTTAATCCTGGTCTGGATTGTCCTGTCTGTAAGGAAGGTCTTCACCCATCTGCAGAGTTTCCCGTGGATTCCTGTCTGTGTCATCTTCCACAGGAGGCCTTTTCTCCATACCCTGTCGTAGGCTTGCTGGAGATCAACGAATACTGCAACTGTGTGCTTCTTTTCCTGGAAGCCATCAAGGACTTTCTGACTGAGCCTGAAGAGCTGGTCATCTGTTCGTTGGCCCGCACGAAATCCTGCTTGGTTGCTGTCCAGGGCACCGGTTGTTTCCAGCCACCAGTATAGGCGGTGGTTGACCATTCTCTCTGCCAGTTTCCCGATGCAAGAGGTGAGTGCAATGGGTCGATAGCTTTTCATTTCTTCAGCAGGTTTTCCTTTCTTGAGAATGGGTGTGATGATGGAGTTTCTCCATGCTCTGGGGATGGTGTTTTCATTCCACGTTTTGTTGATCAGCTGGAGAATATAACCCTTACCAACGGGACTGAGGTTTTCAAGCATTTCATTGTGAATCTTATCTGGTCCCGGGGATTTGCGGGGCTTCAGTTTCTTCATTGCCCTGTTGAGCTCAGTGAGTGTGAAGTCATCTTCAAAGAGAGAGATGCTTGCATTTGGCGCATGCTCTTTCTCCTTCAGTCTTTTCAGACAGTCTCTATGTTGGTCAGTGTGGTGTGTAGCTTTGTTTATAGAAGCAAAGAACTTGTTGAAGGTTTCTGCCTTTTTTGGTTTTCTACGATGGTGCCTTCCTCTGTGTCCATGGGTTTTGGTCTTCTACGATGGTGCCTTCCTCTGTGTCCATGGGTTTTGGTCTTCTACGATGGTGCCTTCCTCTGTGTCCATGGGTTTTGGTCTTCTACGATGGTGCCTTCCTCTGTGTCCATGGGTTTTGGGTTGTTTCGGCGCTTTTCTCCACACAAATTGGAGAGAAGTGACCACGCTTTGGCTCCGTTTCTACGTAGATCAAGGTCTGCAACTGTGGTGCTCCATTTGTTTCTTTTGGCCAAGAGGGTTGTCTGTTTGACCTTAGCAGAGGCTTTTTTGTAGTTAATTTTGTTTCCTGTTGTAGAGTTGCTTTCAAGAGTTATTCGAGCATTTTCTCTGTCTTGGACTGCTTGTTCGATGTTCTTGTTCCAGAAAGGCTTGTACTTTTTCCTGCAACCCCTAGGGATGCAGAGAGCTGCAGTCTTGAGCAGGGAATCTGTTATTGCGCCACAGAAGACATCAACAGAGGGGTTTGGTGTAATATCTTCTAGGAGCTTTTCTGTTGTTGTCTTGTAGAGCTCCCAGTTCGCCTTTTTAAAATTCCACTTGGTCTTTTGTACAAAGTGACTTTGGCTTGGGGTCGACACCGAAGTCATGATGGGTCTGTGGTCGCTACCTATGCCGTCAGGGACTTCTGTGGTGTGTCTTTGGAAGAGGTCGGATGAAAGGATGGTCAAGTCAGGCCTGCTGAGTGTGTTGTGAGCCCTGTGTAAAAGGGTAGGGGTAGATTTCTTGTCTTGGAGAACAAGGAGGTTTGTTGTGCCACAGAGTTCCTCTATGGCCATTCCGCTTTTGTTGTATGTTCTGTATCCCCACTGAGGAGAGTGGCCATTAAAGTCACCCGCAACTATTGTTTTGGTGTATATCGATTCTTGAAGAAATGAAAAAGAGCAGTCATTTCCTAGGGAGCTGTAGATGTTAAAGATTGTAAATTTGCAACCTGCATACCAAATTGTAGCTTTTTGGGTGTCTGTTCTTGTGTCAGTTGTGATGTTCTCAACTTTTCCTTGTATGTCATTTCTGATGTAGGTGATTACACCCTGGCAGTCAGGGCATGTGCAGGTATAATGGGTGTATATAGGGGTCTGTGTTACGGTGAATAGTTTCTTGTAATAGAGCAACGTGGATTTTTCTTGAGTCCAAAAGGTGAGAAATTTCTATTTTCTTGTTTGCGAGGTCGCAAACGTTGACCTGGAGTAGTCGAAACTGTTCTGTTTTCCCAGTAGCTAACTTTTCACCAGCAGCCTGGAGATGCACTGCATGGCGCGGGCCTTGATAAACGAGGCGTCGCCCGAGCTCGGATGAATTTAATTTATTTTTCTTTGCCATATTTTTTTTATTTGATTATATAAACGCTTCGTCACTGCTGCTGATTGTTTAGGTCTTTTTTATATAACATACATGTACTTTAAAACATGTATTTTCAAAACTTGTTTTCACTTATCATCATAGTCAGAACCTCACACTGTTTAACCGCTTGACAGCAATTTTTAGCCATTCATTCATTTTTTAAAATTTCGTTCAAGTTCATAAGTTGTTTTCACTCCTCTCTTTGTCTTTTTCATACAAGTTCAAAATTTGTTTTCATTTACCATGATTTGTTTTTTTTTACCACTACACTGCCTGTTAACCACTTTGTTTGAATCTCATAAATGATTAATGTCTTACCTAATTGGTCATATTATAAATTTACTGTTTTCTATCGTACCCTATTGTCAACAATCATTCATTCATCTTAATCCAATCAATAAGAGCTAGATAATCTGGTCATAAAGGCATTTAAAAGTCAGAGATGCAATCGTGATCATTATTTGATTTTAAACTGATTTTAGTAATTTTCTTTTGGTGTGGTTTTTACTGTGATTTACTTAGTTTTCATTCATGATTTTTTTTCTCCGATAACTCTATACTTTTGTAGAGAGCAAGAATAAATATTATTGTTATTTATAGAAACGTTGGGATGCACGATCCAGTATTACCAACTTTAATCAACAAAATGATCACCTATAATTTTTGCCTTGGTGCCCTAGCAAATTGCCTCGATGCCCTCTGGTTTTAGGCCCCACCGAGGCAAGCAATTTTTGCCTGCCCTCCTGAACACCTAATTCAAGCCCTGTAAATGGATATTTTTTTCATCCAAATAAAGACAAGTGAACAAGCTTTAAGATAATACCTGTAACTCTACATGTCGAAAAACTGACGAGAGCCTGATTCCACCACGCTGCCTCACATGTCACAGTGTGCACATAGATCTAGGCCTAACAAAAACTATAAATTTGCATGACATATACCGATAAGCCCTCATGTCTGCTGGTGGTTTCACAATTTCAATCATTGTAGTTGATCTTGTTCTCTTCACATTTGACTTACTGTCTTTGCCCCTGAAATGAAAAAGCAAAGGCAACAGGGAAATTGATAGATTTTCAACTATATTTCAACACAAATGCATCAAGGGTATAATTATTAAACTTCCCCCTCTCCTTCACTCAGTAAAAGTCCCTTTACGATCAAATACAGTGGAGTCTGCTTAAACTAGATATGGTTAATCCGAAAACTGGGGTGTAAGCCAAAATGAAATAAAATCCCCACTTTTTTTTCTTCTGTGAGATCTAGATCTAAATCTACATCTAGATCTAGATCTAGAGTCTAGATATCTAGATCTAGATCTAGATCTAGATCTAGATCTATGAACAATTTCTCAAAACTCAGCTCAACTGAAGAAAATTGGTTAGCCTAAGTGTTACATGCTAGATTCATCTAGATCTAGATCTAGATGTAGATATAGATATCTAGATCTAGATTTCTAGATATACTTCAACACAAGACTAGTGGAACTCTGTAGTGCTATAGGCCACTGAGCGTTATTGTGACTCCAGGTTTGATCAGTAGGCCTACTAGATTCTAGATCTAGATCTATCTAGATCTAGATCTAGATCTAGATCTAGATCTAGATATCTAGATGGGATCACCACAGTAGGGTGTGTACTCTCCAGCTGTAGGACTTTCGCTTAGGTTTATTGAGCACTGGTCTTCTATAGGCTATCTAGAATCTAGATCTGATCGCTCGCTAAGGTAAATCTCTAGATTCTAGGCCTAGAGTCGGAAAGCTGGTTCTAACTTACACATGAGCAGATGTGATTCTGGTTGCTTAAAAGTAAAGGATGGGATGGCAATCTAGAAAGGCTTGTTTTTATTGCTTATTTGTTAATTAAGTAGGCCCTATTTTAGGGTTTAGATAAGATCTGGACTCTACATCCAGACTAGGCCGAAGATCTAGATCTAGATCTAGATCTAGATCTAGATCTAGAGATCTAGAATCTACAGTGTCACTCAGACTTCGTGTGAAGTCATGCTCAAGTTCAACTTCGATTTCAATATCACTGGGCGGGATGTTTAACACGAGAGGAAGATTTCTCATTACATGGTTTCCAATATATAATAATATCTAGATTTAGATTCTAGACTAGATCTAGATCTAGATCTTGATCTAAGTTCAAAAGCATGGTCACGAAGGGTATAGGGAAAAAAAGGAGCGATTCAACATCAGTTTCAAACCTACATGATTGCTGATTGATGGTTTATTATTCTCAGTCGGGCAGGGCCTTGGGGTCAGGGCTGCCAGTTTTTTTTCTGGTGTGGGGCCAACAATATCACAATTTGGGGCCAAACTTGATTTTTTTGGGGCCAAACCATACTTACCCCCACCCCCCACCCCCCTCCAAAACTCACCGGATAAAATAAATAAATATTCAACCAAATTAGATCTAAATAATATTAGTAAATCAATAAGTATGATTGATTACGGTACGATACCTGACCCTTTTCAGTCATCAGTGCACGCTACTGTTCATCCTGTCACTGTCAGTGGTCATGCCTTGGTTCCTTCATGGGGACGACTCACTGAACCAAGCTAAATTAATGTTTGTGAACTGTCTTGACGCTAGAATCCTCTGCAAGATCCACAATGTAAACACGACTTTCTTGATCAGCCATTATTCCACGCAGCCGCTCTCTTCACTGCCAACCATTTGGGACTAATAAATGCTTTTTTTGTGTGTGGCAAAAATCTCCTCGCTTTTATTTTATTTCATTTGTTTTTTCTTTGTTTTTTTTTGGGGGGGGGAATCTAAAAGGGGCCAAATTGGGGCCAACCGGGCCAACTATTTTTTGGGGGGCCAGTCATGATCCCAAAGAGCCAAATTTGAGCAATTTGGCCCCAGTTGGGGCCAAACTGGCAGCCCTGCTTGGGGTCGTAACTCAAAATTCGAAAGACACTTTGAATACCGGATCCGGAAGTAAGTAAACTGGAAATCGTATCGCAAAGACCATGATTCAGAAAAAAGACGAGAACTTTATTTTCCGAAAGACAGGATTTTACCAGTTCAGAGTAGGCCTAGGCCCTAGATCTAGAGTATAAATCATACTTTTAGACTGATTTTACAAAGAGATTATAAATTAGGCCTCCTCACTCACGGGCGGCAGGTGGTGCCAGATCGTCATCCAGCTAGGCCTACTAGCAGCCAAACTTGACTTAAATCACTTAGATCTAGATCTAGGTCTAACATAGCCACATGAAATGTGATAACAATGCACCAGAAAGGCAAATTAGATAATAATATAATAATATAGAACAGGAAATGGATAGGATGAAGCTAAATATGCGAGGCCTTTCAGAAGTTAGTTGGGAGAGGCCAGGTTTGATTAAAAGAGAGAAACAATTGTATAATCCAGTCATCGTGGCTAAATTGGAAGGAAAACCTTTTGACATAGAATCTAAGTTCTAACAGATGTAATTCAAGTATATGCACCAACATCAGAGCATGGCAAGGAGGAAGTGGAGACTTTATATGAAGACCTTGATAAGGCAATGAAACAGCTAAAATCACAAGATATAAAGGTAGTCATGGGGGTATGAAGTAGACGTATAGAAGATATAGCTGGACCACGGGGAATGGGTAAAGAGAATGAACGCGATGGATGACTGATAAAAAAAAGGTGCAGAGAAAATAATTTAATGATCTCAAACTCTTGGTATGAAAATTACACAAGAAGACGATACACTAGGAAGATTTTTGGCGATAGGAGAAAAAAACAACAAATAATGGACTTCATGATCATTCATAAACGTTTTAGAAATGAAATTTAAAAAAAACAAAAAACGTCTAAATCAGTGCTAGGAGCAGATAGTGATAGTGATCATGTACCAGTCATGTGTAAAATGGTCGCTTTTAACCCTATAGAATCCAAGCATAGAAATACTCAACGAAACAATTTGTCAGAGCGTCAATCTGGGGTAGGATTTCTCCTATTGATTGTGCGGGGCATGGATGGTCCAGGATTCTTCAGAGATGATAGGCTAATGGTGCAATTGACCTGCACCAAAGCAGTAGCAACGTGCACTTGGAATTGGGCCAGATTCGTAGGTTGGAGCTTCAACAGATGACTATGCCACAACCACGCATTGACAAGGGCAATCTGGAGTGTGTTAAAAAAAGAAATACATGTAGGCCAAGCAGCGCGGGATTTCATTGGGAACTTATAAAGGGCATTTGGTAACTGTCGAGAAGGAGATCTTCACTCATTTTTAGAAGACAGAATATGATCAGGTATAGACCTTAAAGGTCGTAATTCTCAGACTCTTAATGGCTGCAAAACTGTAAGGTTGAATTGTTCAGCTCCAGCTTTGTTGACTGTGTAAGAGGGATCACATTTAGAAAACGTGACGTGGATTTTTGAACATTGTTTATAATACCCCCCCCCCCCCCCCCCCCCCCCCCCAATTTGTTAATGAATGGAGGGCCCTCTCCACAAAGAGAGGGGGGGAAAAACGGCAGGGGTTTTTTAAAATATGTATAAAAAACCCCCCCCCCCCCCCCCCCCCCCCCCCGATGCGGTGCTACTGACTGAAGTGTCTTTAGGCCATTCCCAAAGGAAGGGGGGGGGGGGGGCATTAACATCTCGAGTTCTTATGCACAATAGAATTGTAATTTTTGAAAGGGCTGATTCATCGAAACTGTGCCTGAACTGCAATAGGGAACTGCTGCTTTTTCTTTCTTTATCCTCACTATCGTCATTTTTCCTCTACTTCTTTTACAAGTATGTTTATCACACTCTTGTGGCCCGGTATTTCCGAGGTGCCTTGATAGTCGAAGCAGACTTTGTGCTGTCGAAGCTGGAGAGGTGAGCAGAGTAAGTCTGATTCCCTGTAAGGACTTCTCTGTTGATATCCATCCCTTGGGGCTCATAATATGACCTTATGCAGTTCCCGAGCGCTATAAAACCTCTACTAAAACTAACTAAACTTATTTATAATGAAGTACAACCTGATTGCATGTAACCATGTGAACGGTCTTACGAGTATGGAGCTGTGAGCGATAAACATGGGGAACTGCTTCCACAAGGCATTTCAGCCAACATCTGTGCACGTGACTGATGTTTGGGGCTACCCGGTACTCTCGAGAGGAGGCTTCAGCGCTATCGTGAAGTTTTCTGTCTGTGGGAGAGGGCAGCAAGTACATATTGTGTATTGTTGGTAAATTACAAGACAAATACCAGAACTTGAATACAAAGAGTACACCTAAACCAAGAAACAACGAGTCAAATAAGTATAGTAACAACCAGTCGGATCACTAGAAATTGATTATTTGTAAAATTATATGAAAACGTGATTATTTGGCAAACGAAACCAAAGAGTCAAACAGTGTCATTTTCGTGTTCAGGATGAGCAGCAAAAATACAAGGAGATAATCTCAGAATATTCACAGCACCAGTTCTTATTGTTGAGTTGTTTCCCTTGGACCGTACCTACGTATGAAACAGTCTCCAGTAGTGTTCATAAATTCAAGAAATATCTTCTATTTTAATAGGAAGTGTCTACGTACTCCCTGATTAGGGTCTACCTAGTCATGGTGTCTTTACCCCAAAAATGTTGGATTGTGATTGGCTCGCTGAGCGAGCGGTAGTTTACATTGGTTACAATGCAAGGCTACTGATCATCTCGGGCGGTGTGTCGATCTAGTGTTACTATGATTTATTTATTTTAGCCCAGAGAGAGAGCGTATTTAATGAATAGGAAGTGCCTATTTGCAACGCTTCATCACTACTTACAAAGCAACAAGATATAATTATGGGAACAATTTGTTGGTCAGTCGAGAAGAGGACAGCAACAACAACCCTCCCCCCCCAAAAAAAAACGAAAAGAAAAAAAACAAAAACGTCCAGGACCGGGATCGAACCCACGCTAAAAAGATAATGGTTGGACTTCAAGCCAAGACGCGCTGTCACTTAATCGGCCATCAGAACTTCAGATAACGAAGTGCAGATTAAGCTTGATATTTTACACACAGCGACACGGCGTTTTATTTAGCACTGGCGCTAATCGCAACGAGGCGTTGCAAATAGGCACTCCCTATTAATTAAATACGCTCTCTCTGGGCTAAAATAAATAAATTATAGTAACACTAGATCGACACACCGCCCGAGATGATCAGTAGCCTTGCATTGTAACCAATGTAAACTACCGCTCGCTCAGCGAGCCAATCACAATCCAACATTTTTGGGGTAAAGACACCATGACTACGTAGACCCCAATCGGACAGTACGTACAAAGAGTCTTCTTAACAAGAGGGGCCACTTCTCTCTTTGAGCTAATTAAAAAAGTGTCCTCAAAATTCGGTGGCGACCTCTTCGCAAAAGCCCACCTTTTGCGAACAGAGTTATCTTACTTGAGTTTAAAAAATCAAAGTGAAACTAGCAAGTTTTTGAAGGAATTTCAGAAGAACGCTTTTTAAAATGGTTACGCTGACAAAAAAACCTCTTCCGGAGGAAAGGGTGATTGTTTTTTCGGTTTAATTTGACTTTAGAATGAAAGGCGAGAGGTCATTAAAATAAAAAAAATAAATAAAACTCCGTACTGAACGAACCCGAACTGCTGATGAACAGCAGCCGATCTGCGCGCGCAAGGAGGTTCTATTCCTATTCTTCTTCTGGAAAAACGAAAGAGAGCTTCAAAACAGACTGCAGCGCCATCTGAAGCAAAGAGCATACTTCCTGCGGACACTTTTTTGGCTGAGTGGCCCTTCTTGTTATTTACTATCTTTGGTACGTTGACACTGCCATTTTAATATCGAAGTGACTATTCCCAGTGACAACGGAACTCTTTTGCATTTGAAAATCTGAAATCTTTGCACTGTAGACTCTCCTCTCACTTCAGTTCAGTACTTTTGTTCTCTTCTCTGACTTAGGGCTTAGACTCGACTGTAGAATAGATCTAGATCTAGATCTAGATTAGACCAAGCAGAAAGAAAATCGGGAAGGATTTCTACCTGTCCTGTACTGCGGTCTCCAAAATCAGTATAATATTTAGATCTAGATCTACACGTACATTTAAATTACGATTGAATAACAAGCAAGCATAGAATAATCATTCCTTTTTCTTTAAAAACATTCTTCCACTCACACCAGAATCTAGATTCTACTTTAGTTTAGTTAGATCTAGTCTAGTATTTTGTAACCCATCATCATCATGCCCATGTAGATCAGTGTGGGAACAATAGATCTAATGGGCGTGTCTGTTCTCAGTGTCACTGGGAATAGCTTCTAGGCCTATTCC